CAATTTGTCAATTGCAAACTTGAATGTGCTCTGAACTCCTAAGTTTCTTAATTGATTGATGATCAATTTCACCAATTTAATCAAAGCTCAATTCCTTGACTCAATAATACTAAAATTCAATTAACTACTCTAATTTCTTAGGTGTAATTCAATTAAACATTGTATTAGGTATTCGACATTAATAAATCACAAGATCGTGAATGCTTATTCCTAAGATATCAATAACCTTGATATTTAATTCAAATTTAAGAAATTAACTCAACTTCTATTAATGAAAATTCTCTAAGTTCAATTCAATTAAATAATTCACCCAAGAATTACATTATGGTGTGTAAAAATTGATTACTGGGCAAGTGCACCCATTGTCAAAGTAATATTGCGAAAATTAGAGTACCAAGTATCGTATCCACAGGGACTGTTACTAAGAATTGCTTCCTTGATTACCCAATTATTAATGAATATTGGTAAGAAATTATGTTGATAAATTTGCTGAACGAAGAAAATAACAATTTAAAAGAAACAGATTTCTATGATAATAAAACCTAAAAAAGTATGACTAAGTGTATTCAAGAGAAATAAGTGAGTATCTAGGTTGTAAACCTCCTAAATGTCCAAATAATTAGAATTCTCCTTCAACTACTTAGTTCTAGTCCCTTGTTTCTGCAGGAATTCCTGAAATAAACCAATACCTTTCTCAAGGATAATGGTTCCTAACTTTCGGTTGATTAATCAGAATCTCTTCCTTAATTAGTTCTCTTAGGTTGCATTAAATTCATTATGAGTTCCATAATTAGGGTTATTCCTAATACAGAAAACTCATCTCTTTCTATCTCTAGAAATACATTCAAGTCCTTTTAATTGAGCAATGGTAATTTCATGCAGGATTTTTAGTCAAAATCAAACAAAAAAATAAGATAAGAGATAATTAATACTACTCAATTAAACCCAAGAGAAGAGAACATGAAATAGCATTAATAAGAATTCCAAACGGTTTGGTCAAATAGGATTTATTACGCCTAGATACTCAAAAGAAAATTAAAACCTAAACATGTCGAAACTACAATTACAAAAGAAAGAAATTAAAGATCTTGATTACATCCTCCCAGCGTCACTAACTCTTTCTTTCCCAAAAACAGTGCCTCCCCAGGTTTCTGTGCCAAGTTTTATTTTATATGAGTGGTTCCAAGACTCTTCTTATCACAAAAGTTTAATTCTAAAGTAAGTTAAAAGTACACGGCCATGTACTTTGACCGTGTACATCTCTGGTCTCTAAAAATTGCCCTTGAAAGCTTTTCTGAAAAGTACACACTCATATACACGACCATGTACCTTGACCATGTACATCTCTAGTTTTGATGACGTACTTCAATTGACGCGACCAATAAGATACACGCTCATATACACGAGCGTGTACTTGCCCGTGTACATTTTGGCTCTGATTATGTGTTTGATTACTGCAACTAGTGAGATACACACTCATGTATACGGGTGTGTACTTGCCCGTGTATATCTCTGGTTCTTTTCTTGCTTCAATTCCCAATATTCTTTAAGCTTTCACTTCTTGATCCTTTTTCCTGAAATATGAATAAAATATACTCAAAAATCACAATTATCATTCATGAATTACATTTTAAGATCAAGAATAAAAGACATTTATCAAATTCCCCCGAACTTGAATGATTGCTTGTCCCCAAGCAAAGAAATGGGTCAAATTTACCTCTAATAACAAAGAATCAAATTCCTAAACTTTTGTTGTTATTATTATTATTATTTTCTTTTAAATTTTTTTTTAAGAATAATAATTCATAAGCATCAAATTGTGCCTTCTTTTTCTCTCAACCTTTGTAACTTCAGACGAAACTGAATAAGGACCTTTATACCATTAATTCTTAAAAATCACACTCAAAATTTTGAATTCTTCCACAAGGTGTTATTTAATTTGTTTCACTTTGAGCCATAATCAACTAACAGGGTGCATCTTATGCTCCATTCCAACTAGCATAACGTATTAATAGACATTCCACCCCTTGCTTTCCACATCGGTACCTCAAACAATTTCGGGGTTCTAGGATGTGGTATCTGAACATTGTCTGCAATCCACATTCAATTAGATATGCTTCTATGGCATGCTCTTTTATTTTTTGAGCAAAGCCCCAATTTTTTTTCAGATATTAATTATTCTATTAATTGCATTTATTCTTAAACATTTGGTATAGATTCAAGGTCCTCAAATCAGAAAATTCTTCTAATACTTCAATCGAGAAACAATTAAAAACACAATTCAAATAACCAAAATAACTGCATATGATTTTTTTTCAACAAAACATTTTATTTATGTAACTATTTAGAAATATCATCTCTAATGCAAAAGAAAAACTGACTCAATATTTGCTCGAGGACGAAACAAAAGTTCAGTTCAGACATTTATAAGTATCTACTCATACTGTAAGATTTGCATTATCCTCAATCAAATATAAGAATTAAAGTGCAAACTGAAACTTCCCTGAAAAGTAATAGAAATAAGTAAAGAGTGGTGGGAGTCACAGCTAATCTGATATTCAATTGAAGAAGAAACATGACCAAAATGAATTTATAGGGAAATTCAACTCAGTTCAAAATGACAAAAAGAAAGGAATAATCAAAATAACACAATAAAGAAACAAAGGCAATAAAGACAAGAGCAATTTAAATTCTGAAAATAACATAGGTAAAAGAAATCCAACAACTAAGACTATCCTAATTGCAGACTAAACTGTTGCACTAGCATCATCTGAATCTTCATCATTCATACTAAGAAAGTGGTCAAAAGGAGATGGAGTAGGATGGAGGACTGTCGATGCTGATATACCAAAATGACTGAACAGAGCAGCAAAGTTGGCTTCGACTGTGAATGCAGTCTCTATGACTGCTCCTCAAAGACCGCTGGGACGCGGTGATCTGTTGCAGCTGATGGTGAATAATGTTAGGATCCTCAGCAGGTGCAAGAGGACTGTCTACCCTAGGTGGGGGAGAAGGGAGCTCATCAAGGGGGTCATCCTGGGCATCAATGTGGGTACTGAAAGGGGCTGGTTCAAAGTGCATGGCCTTCATTGTGTCGTGCAAGATAGGGGCCATATGATTAACCAATATGAAACCAGAAACATTGCTCAGAATTCCTAATCCCTTAGCCAAACGAGTGACATATGGACCCGTACAAATACAGCCCACCCGATCATCATTGGCTTGAGAGAACAAAAATTTTGCTAAGCAGATACCAAGGTGAATGGGGATTTTATCAATCATGCTGCGCAAGAATTCTAGGTCCTTTGTACCCACAACCCCAAAACTGTGACCACTCTTGGTTAGAGTGTGGGCTAACAGAGTATGCATATATCTCCACGTTGGTTTCTTCAATGTGAAGGCCTTGGACCGAGTAGGATTCCAATCCTTATCGACAGCAATAATCCTCTTCCAAAAATCTTTATTAGAGCAACCTAAAAGGGGGATGTGAGCTAGTCGTCGGTACTCATCAATGAGTACAAAATCAGAGGTATAAAGTCTCATTCATACAGAAAGTCAGAATAACTCATCTGATACATGTTTTGCATCATCTGAAACTGAATAGAGTCTTTAGAGTCCCAACCAAAAAATTTCTTCTCAACAACCAAAGTAGTGAGAAATTCTAATGTAAGCTCTCTATATGTTGGCTCAATAATAGAAAACAAATTTTTCCAATGCCCCACTCTTACCAATTCCTTCACTTCCTCAAATAAATTATAGTGATGTAGAACGTCTCAATCAATAAATTTGCTCTGGCCCCAAATCTGATTTTTCAATTTGTCATATTTGGTGCGGTGAGCAGGGGCATTGAAGGTGAGCAGTTGGGATGAGGGAAGTTGTGGAGGGGGCTTCATTCTGGGAGTGGAGACGCTTCCTCACTGGCTCCTTGTCCCTTTTAGGCACTCTTGATGAAGACCTATCAGCCATGGAGGTTACAGAAAACAGAGACTGGAAAGGGAGGAGAGTGTGGTTCCAAAGTGTGGGAGTGAGGACGAGTGGGAGAGAAAGAATGAATGTGATACATAACCAGATTATTGTGCAGAGAAATAGGAAAAGGGAATAAGGTTTTAAGAGTTATTGTGCAGAGGAATAGAGGGGTACAGCACGGGAAAGAGAAACAGGGGAGATGGAACGTTAAGTTCGTCGCACAATCTACATAGCCGTGTAGATCACTGCCCAGCAATTTTAAAACAGAGGACTCCCCTGTGCATACATCACTGCCCCAACAATATCAAAAGGGAAGAAAAGTACATGAGCGTGTAACTGAGCGTGTACATCTCTGCCTATACTACGTCTAAGCAAAATAAAAGTACAGCCGTGTATCTGGCCGTGTACATCACTGCTTAATAGAAATAGCATGAAACACAAATACACGGCCATGTACATGACCGTGTAGATGGACGTGTATCTCACTACCCTCTTTTATTTATTTATTTATTTTTATAATTGAGAAAATAAATAACTAAATTAAAATAAACTAAACCTATCTAACCTAAACTATTCAATGTAATTCAACATTCAATATGGAGGAGTTTAAACTCCTCATTTGCAAAAGTTGGAAGTTGACCCCCTGGTACAGTTTTAGCTTATGTCCATTCACTTTAAAGTTTCCTTTTTTTGGATGATTTAATTCAATTGTAACATAAGGAAATACCTCATGCATAGTGAACGGTCCAAACCAACGGGATTTAAGTTTACTTGGGAATAATTTGATGCGAGAGTTGTACAACAGAACTAAATCACCTTTTTGAAATAGTTTACCTCCCTTGATTTTTTTTATCATGGTAAGCCTTCGTTCTTTCCATGTAGATCCTGGAGTTTTCATAGGCTTCTATGTGCCACTCTTCCAATTTATTCAATTGCATCCCCCGCTTGTTACCTGCATGATCAAGATTCATATTCAAAGATTTGATTGCCTAAAATGCCCTATGCTCTAATCAACCGGAGATGATAGGCTTTACCAAACACAAGCCTATATGGTGTAGTGCCTATGAGAGTTTTAAAAGTTGTCCTGATAGCCCACAAGGCGTCATCTAACTTATCAGCTCAGTCCCTCCTATTCTTCTCTACTATTTTTTCTAACACCCTTTTCAACTCCCTATTAGCTACTTCAACTTGATCACTTGTTTGAGGGTGATATGGGGTAGCAATTCCATGGGTGACTCCATATTTATTCAGAACTTTTTCAAGTTGTGTATTGCAAAAATGTGTACCCCTATCACTAATTAAAGCTCTTGGGGTGTCAAATCGTGAAAACAACTTTTTAAGGAACCTAGTGACTACTCTTGCATCATTAGTAGGTAAAGCTTGTACCTCAACCCATTTGGACAAATAATCAATAGTCACTAAAATGTATGTATTCCCTTTTGAACTAGGAAAAGGTCCCATAAAATCTATCCTCCAAACATAAAATATTTCACAAGTTAAGATGTAATTCTGAGACATTTCATTTCTTTGAGAGATATTACCTAATCTCTGACAATTATCACATAACTCAACATACCTGTGAGCATCCCTAAAAATAGAAGGCCAGTAAAATCTGGATTCTAGCTCCTTTTTAGTCGTCCTACTTCTAGAATGATGACCTTCAGCAGGGCTAGTGTGACAATGTCCTAAAATATTCCATCCTTCAGAATGTGACACACCCCTTCTAATAACCTGGTCTGCACAAATTCGAAAAAGATATGGGTCCTTCCAAAAGTAGTATTTCAAATCATAAAAGAAATTCTTCTTTTGTTAATTTGAAAACTCCTGTGGTAAAACCTTAACAACCAAATAGTTAGCAAAATCTGCAAATCATGGTAAATAAAAATCAGAAGCAGTTACCACATTATACAAGTGTTCTTCTGGGAATTTGTCATTAATGCTCATCTCATCTAGTTCCTCCATGCTGGGATTTCTAGCCTTGACAAATGATTAGCAACCAAATTTTCTGAACCTTTTTTATCCTTGATTTCTAAGTCGAATTCCTGCAGCAACAAGACCTACCTCATTAATCTAGGCTTTGCTTCCGTTTTGGTTAGCAAATAACGTAATGCAGAATGATCAGTATATACTATAACTTTAGAAAGAATTAAATATTGACGAAATTTATTAAACGCAAACATCACAGCCAATAATTCTTTTTCTGTTATAGTGTAATTCTCTTGAGCAATTGTTAGAGTCTTGCTGGCATAATAAATGGGATGAAAATGCTTGTCTTTTCTCTGGCCAAGTACAGCTCCCACAACATACTCGCTTGCGTCGCACATCAACTCAAATGGATAGTTCTAATCAGGACCACACAAAATAGGAGCTTGGGTCAGTTTTCCCTTAGAGTAGCTCAAAGGCAATCAAACACTCCTCATCAAAAATAAAGGAATTTTCCTTTTTCAAAAGTCTGGTCAAAGGTTTGGTGATCTTAGAGAGATCCTTGATAAATCTCCTGTAGAATCTCGCATGGCAATAAGAAGCTCCGAATTGTCTTAATAGAAGTAGGAGGTGGTAGCTTCTCGATTGTGTCAATCTTTGCCTTATCTACCTCAATTCCCCTACAGGAAATTTTATGACCAAGCACAATGCCCTCTTGCACCATAAAATAGCACTTCTCCCAATTAAGCACCAAATTGGTTTCTTCACATCTTCAAAGTACTCTTGACAAATTCTTTAAACAATGAGAGAATGAGTCACCGAAGACTGAAAAATCATCCATGAATATCTCCATTATGTTCTATACCATCTCATTAAAAATAACCATCATGCATAACTGAAAAGTTGTTGGTGCATTGCACAATCTGAACGGCATCTGACGGTTGGCAAATGTTCCATATGGGCATGTGAAGGTAGTTTTCTCTTGATCTTCCGGTGCTATTGGGATTTCGAAATATCCTGAGAGCCCATCCAAGAAACAGTAAAACATATGGCCCAAAAGACGCTCCAGCATTTGGTCAATGAATTGGAGAGGGAAGTGGTCTTTCCTTGTTGCATCATTTAATTTCCGGTAATTAATATAAACCCTCCATCTAGTGACAGTCCTAGTGGGCACCAACTCATTTTTCTCATTGGGCACTACAGTCATTCCTCTTTTCTTTGGAACGACTTGTACCAGATTTACCCAAGGACTATCTGAGATGGGATATATCATTCCGGCATCAAGTAGCTTGATCACTTCAGCCTTCACCACTTCCTTCATATTTAGGTTTAGCCTTCTTTGTGGTTGCACTACAGCCTTGAAATCAGACTCCATCAAAATCTTGTTAGTGCAAAACGAGGGACTAATCCCTCTTATGTCAGAGATCTTTCATGCTATTGCTTTCTTCTGGAAGTGCTTTACTAAGCATGATCTTATGAGTGTAGAAGGGAATGATCTTGGGAATGACTATAAGTTTTGAATATGGAATGGATCTATTGTGAATACTTATAGAGATACAATAGGGGATAGAGTCCAGAGACGATAGAAATCTAGGGGAGACGTAGGGTGGTCAACAACATTGTGTATATACACACTCTTACTGAGAGTGAATGCACCACATGGCCTTACACTCGTTTCCTGACTAGACTCCTTGACTATACCTTTTCTAAGAAGCTCGTTATTATATACGTTGTATCCGTATATATAGGTTAACCAATGACTATTTACCTAATTGAGTAAGACCTCAAGAAATGCTGGAGGCATCGCTGTCTGTGATAACAGGGCACTGAGAGTGCGTATTTGGAGAGAATTGAATAAGTTATAACAAATTATTGAATTATGTATATGTGACTATGCTTGTAATGTGAATTGGTTGTGGAAATGAATGTTTTCCTTATATTATAATTGTGATCTTTATTATGTAATGATTTATAAATAATAAAATAGATGTTCATCCTTACTTACATTTTTAGAAAACCAGGATGACGGCGCTTCAAGAAAGAATTAGGCTAATAGACAGTTCTGTACATAATAGACATAATTATGTATTTAATGAGTACCATAGGACATGTCACTTTAAATTAGCCATACATGTTGACGATTTGCCTAAGAATACTATTATGTTAGAGATGGAACTATATTATAATATTCCTTTTGATTTCCTGTAACTAGGATACACCATACTCTATATATATATATATATATATATATATATAGAGAGAGAGAGAGAGAGGGGGGGCACGGTAGGACCCCGGCAGCCTTCATGTATCTGTTCACATACCATGATCATGACCATCTCATAAGACTGACTTGAGTTACCGGTGAGCGAGTCACAGGTGTTGAGGTTGTAGCCGACTCGGGAGATTTATATCTCGGATTAGATGATGACCTTGATTCTAAGGATTTAGCAGAGATAGAAGGATGGCATGGAGATGATTAGCACTAGATCCTCAGTGTTTGGATATATTTTAGGACTGCTCTGGGACTTAAATTGATTTTTGTAATGTAATTATTTTGGTTGTGTAATAATTATTTTAAGTCTCACATATTTTGACAAACAATTTGTAAATATATATATATATAGTGCATGTTTAGTATCCAGATTAAAAAATGTGTTTCTAGTTCATTATAATCTTTAAATTTACTATTATTTAATTAATATTGCCTAATTGGAAAATTTTGAAAGTAATCTTATTCATAGAAAAGATATTTTATTTACTCGTATTTACAATGCTTGTCATATACAAAAATTCTTATTTTATGCCGAGTTTGTACAAATAAAATAAGCAGTTTTAAGACAAAAATTTTAGGATGTTACATATCACATGCAGCATATCTCCTCCAGAAGCTCTGAAACCTTCACATTCATTGCCAAAGGTGATCACGTGAAGCATGAACTCCATTTAGAAGTCTTTAAAGTGGTCACTTTGGGTGGAAAAATTATCACGTGCACTATAGTTCCATTTTAAGGCCTATGCAAGACTCACTTTTGATGACAAAAGTGATTACACTCAACTTGTTTACTTCTTCAATTCTCTAAAACCTTCACTTTTTGCACTAAAAATGATTACGCTCCTCATTAACTGACTTCTAAACTTCTAAAATGCTCACTTTTTGCACTGAAGGTGACTATGCTCAGGCTCAATTGACCTATTCTAACTTCTAACTCGTGTTTTTTCTTAGAATTTTCCTATAAAACTAATTAATCAATAAAATTTGTATAAGAAATCAACTAAATCTAATCAAATTGAGTTGTAAACTAAAATTGAACAATTTGAACAATTATCAATTGTTTATGAGATTTTAACCTTCTTAACTACAATTTTTTATTATAAAGCTACTAGAAAACTAACTAAAAATCTAATAAAATATAGATTTATCAATGTTTCACCCTCACCAAGTTGAAAAGAATAACCTCTCTTAAGGACATATTTAGTCTTAACTATTCTACGCCAGATGTAAGAAGAACTATTATTTATGGCAGCATTAATGTGAATACTAAATTTTGATTTAAAAATTTTGATTTAAAAAAATCTACATTTTAATATTACAAAAAGGGAATAGAAACAAAGGGTTTTAAGGAAATAAAAATAAAAATTTGTCTTAATAAAATTAGGAAAATTTAAAATTAATTTTTAAAAGAAAAATAGAATATGGCAAATAATCAAACTCTTAAACCAATGTTACTTTATACATAAAAAGGAAAATTTTTATATTGAAAAAGAGGAGATTTTTCTGAAAAATATAGAAAAAGAAGGCTAGTGAAAAGGAGGAAGAACAAAAAGCAAACAAAAATAATTTTCAAGAATATCAAGTAACTTTTATCATGCATTTTATACATTTTCTTCTTCTTCATGCATATTTATATTTTGAATAAACATTTCATATATCAAATCAATTCCAAATGGCAAAAAGGAAATAAGGATTTCAAACCACCACTTCAAACATCCAAGTCCTACCACCTCTCCACCCATCTATCATCATCCATAAACACAAAACCATGGCCTTCATTAACCTCACCACTACCCTTTCATAACCTCTTTTATTTTTCTTAGAGAAAAGTACACCCCTAACATTAAAGTCCTTCCCCTTCAAATTTAAAAATTTTAAATTTTGGACCATTTTACTCTTTTTTATTTTTTATTATTTTTTTGGTCTAAATTTTTTATTTATTTTTATTTTAATTATTACTTAGCTCAACATATAATTTCTTATTTCAGTTTTATTTATTTATTTATTCATTATTATTATTTATTATTATGGTAATTATTAATTTATTTAATGAATGAGTTCTTATTATTTATTTTTATTTATTATTTTTTTATGTTAGCTTAATTTAAATAAAATGTTTTAATTTTAATTTATTTATTTATTTTAATTCTCTTGATACTATTTACTTTACAATATTATATTTGAGTTATTTTTTAATTTATCGTATCTTAACCTTAACAATAAATTCTTCTCATTTTATTTTTTTTATATTCTATTATTTATATCTTAATTATCATGTTGAATATTTATTCTTTAGGATTGTTATTTTTTATTTTATTTATTGTATATTTATAGAATATTGATATGATTTAATTTTATATTTATGATTACTTTCTCTTATATTGTTAATAGTAAATTACTTATTTTTTGTATAATCAATTAATAAATAATAATATAATTGCATCAATTTATAATAATAACGTATAACTTCTCTATGTCTTGTATTATAAATTGATAAAGTCTATGTGCACCTATGTTACCAAGATGTTATGCAATATTAATTTATCATATATTATTTTTAATTAATTAGTTAACTATCTTAACAATAAATTAAGATATATTTCCTTTCTAATTACTAACTTATGAATAAATTAACTAATTTAAATCTAAATTGTTTTATTAACGAAATAATTTATAATGCTAATGTGTAGCGACTTTACCTTTATGCATTATAAATTATCAAAAACCTATGTGTACCAATGTTACTTTAGGTTTTATATGATATAAATCTATCAAATGAAATTTTTAATCTTTTTATTAAATAAGATAAATGTATTTCTTTTATTAAAATAAAGTTAATTTTATATTTTAAAATTTCTTAAGTCATACTTCTAATTCTGATAAATTAAATAATTAAACATTTTTTTACTTATTTATATAAATTTCTACAACATCGATGTGTAATTTATATTTACCTTCAATCGTCTAATAAATTATAAGAGATTTATGTATAGCTTACATATCTTAAATTCTCTTTCAACGTTAATTATAATTTAACAATATAAATTCAAATATTTCATTTACAAATAAAAATATATTTTAAAGATTTGCAATATGGTTGTGTGATCTTCCTTCACTTTTTGTATTATTTCTCGTAGGATACGTGTATAACCGTATTATCTTATATCCTAAATATTATTTTATAAATTAATCTCAAAATAAATCTTATTTACTAAACTTAATTTTAATCAATCAACTTTATAATTTTTAGATAGAACTACGTGACTTTGAGTTTTTCACTGTACCCGGGGATACGTAAGAGTAGAAACTGGACTCGTCAAGTCAAAATAATTTTCAAAATAATTTTTTAAGGTATCCATTAACATTTTAATAAATAATTTATCTTCTTTTAAAATAAATAATAATAATAATAATAATAATAATTGTTGTTTAGGGATTAAATAAATATTTTTTAAAACTAAAATAAATTTGTACAATTAATTTAAGATAATCGTTTTTAAAAAAACGAACGTTGTAGGGTGCTAATACCTTCCCTACATGTAAATCACTCCCGACTCATTCTTTGTTTCAAAGATCACTTTTTAAAGTTTTTCCAAGATTTTTTTTAATAAATTTTAGTGGTGACTCCTCTGAATTTTTTTTAGAAAAAGTTTTTATTCCTAAAGTTATTTTTCTTAAACACGTTTTCGCCGTACCGTTGCGACTGCCCGATTGCGATAGTGAAAGAGATCAATGATAACACCATTGTATAAATTAGAGAGAGACAAGGTCCTCACACACCATATAACGAAGGAACTAATATTAATTGGAAAGCCAAATCTTAAAGAACCCGATGTAAGAAATCTCAACTAATATTACTATATGCCTTTTGAAGATCAATTTTAAAAGTCAAGCACCCCTTTCTAACTTTGGATTTATGCATGTGATGAACCACCTCTTAAGCAATAATGGCGTCATCACAAGTGCCCTGGCCAGGGAGAAAGCTACTTTGATGAGGACTTAAAAGATCATTCAAGAAAGGTCGAAGTCAATGAACTAGAACCTTTGATTTTGAAGATAATATTGCAAAGGCTATACAAAAATCATTAATCCTTTGGTGGGTGATCAACCTTAGGAATGAAAACAATGTGAGTTTATATGGTATGATTATAAAAAAAATTTAAAAAATCCATTAGAGAAGGTATTGTTGACTAGCTTCCAAACATCATCCCTAATGATATGCCAATATTTAAAAAAAAAAAAAAAGTTGATACTCATCTAACCAAAAGGCCTTAAAAGATTTCATGCATATCATTGTGAACTTGACTTCCTCTTTAGAAACATGAGCTATGAGAGCCTAAAACGATTAACATATGATTATGTCAAAGAGAAATTTTAAAGTTGGAGTCAATAGTAGCAGAACTAAAGTTTGATTAGAAATTATTTAGAACCTTTGTCTTAAGAACTTAAGGGTTAGAACATTGAAAACCATCTTCCAAGGAAAAACTAATAATCTTGTTTCTATGCCTACGAACAATGGTTTAGGTGTAGAAAATTTGGTATTATGATCACCAAATTTTGCCCATTGCTCCTTGGACTTTTGAAACCAAAGTAATTCCTCTTATTTTATTGTCTCAATATATTCTATTTGGAGGTTAGCTTCAAGCTTCATAATGCTAGAGTTAATTAGGATAATTCTCAAGTTGTGGTTGAATATCTTAAACCTTCATTCAACATGTCACTTCCTCTTCAAAATACTCCCAAAAATATTTTTATTGAATTCTTGGAATTTATGGCAAACTCGAATAAGATTATAAATCACCTCATGGGCATCCCTATGCCAAGCAGAATTGATAATTCCTTCAAATTTCTTATGTCGAGACCAACTTGCCATGAAACACCAAGGTCTTCCACTATAAAAAAATGCATCACTTATAGTCGGTTCATTTAGCGGCGGTTAGCAATAATGGCCACTAAAACATTTTGAAAGTAACATTTAACGTTAGTTTTAGTAACCGCCGCAAAAAATGTGGGATTTAGTAACGATTTTGCATAACCACCACAACAAATGCGGGATTTAGCGATAGTTTTTTGTAACTGTCACAAAAAATACATGGTTTAGCGTTAGTTTAAGATAACTGAATATAAGAAACATCACTCTTCTCCCTATTCTCAGTCACTCACTCAAAGCTACCATTCATCTCCACCTTAGCCTCATTGAGTTCCACCATCCTCTTTGCCACTGCCACCATCGTTACCATTGTCAAAGTGTCTTCTTTAACCGTGACAACATTGATAATCTTCTACTATCATTTTCATTTTCTCCAAAAATGACTCTTCTCCAACAACTCTACACTATAAATTATATAATATATATGTTGTGATGTTAAAAAAATAAATGGAATATGAACCCAGATAGCAAAAGAAAGAACTGAGTAGAAGATAAGAACGGAAAAAAGTGTGGAAGCCAGAAACAAAGCACTGACACGCGTAATCTGAAATTTGAATTTCAAATTTTAGCGGCAATTCAAAACTGTTACTAAATAACTGCCGCAAATTTCAAAATTTAGCGGCGGTTCAAAACTGCTATAAATTTGGCTTTGCGTCGCCAATTTTAACATCAGTTTCATAACTACCGAAAAAATATTTAGAGGCAGTTAAAACTGTCGTTAATCATTAAATTTAACTGTCACAAATGAGCGATTTTTTTGTAGTGTCCAATAATGCTCGTCTTCCACATTAAAAAAGGAAAGTAAGAGAGGAGAGTAATTAGATTTGACTTGACAAAGATTATTTATGTAAGTGTTAGGAAAAGCCAATCTCCACACTCAGTCCACTAATACCCTATCCAAGCACTTCATAATAGTAAGAGAGTTAACTATAGATCTAACCCAAGTAAATTGGTTGCCTATAGCTCCAATATCTAATAGATCATACTCATTAATCATATAAGCAAAGTTTGAAGACCTGGAATGATAAAAGTGATCACCCTGAACCTCTGAGGAAAATAAGATTTCACTATAATTCTCTATAAGCAACCAAGGAATATCAATCCACTACAAAAGAGAAGTAAGATACTCCTAGAAGTAAGCTTGTTTTCTAGGAGAAGGACTAGCATATAAAGTAGTACATATTCACTTGGTGTTGCCCTTAAAAAGGTAATAGCTTAGGAGGTAAAGTCAACCAACACCAAACTTATATTACTATGACTGGATTGAAGAACCCAAATACCACCCTCATGATCATTAGCTTCATTGATAAAACAACCTTTGCACTCAATGATGTCCAAAAGGATATTGTGGACTTGAATTGATAGTGATAGTGAGTTTCAAGTAAACACATTACTGAAGGTTTTGTAGGTAAGAACTAAATTCTTAGCATACAGCTTACCTTCAACATTCACAACACTAAAGATATTTCAAGTAATAACTTTCTTATTCACAAAGTCCATAAAAAAAGATAAGAAAAGAAAAAGTAAAAACACACATAATGCGTCTAAGAGACAACCTATGATCCCTTATCACAAGACATATTAGAATTATTAGTAAGCATTCCTTTCAAAAGGGACATCACATGACAAGTATTGCCATTTTTCATACTACAAATATCAAGAATTTAACACTCATTCCATTGGAAGTGAAATAAAAAAATAATTAAGAAATAGAGTATAATTAGAATAAAAATATTTAATATTTAGACAAGTTAAAATAATAAAATAAAAAAAAAATTCTTCTACTCATTTAAATGAATGAATAAAAAATATAAAAAAACTTAGTTATATTTAAAAATTCATAAATTTATTTATTTTTATTTTATAAAAATTAATTCCTAACCATCAATCCTTCCATCCCTCGTTTCTCACGGTAGGCAGGATGGGTGAATTTTTCTTGGTGGTGGGACCCGAAAAAATAACCCCTCTGTTCATCCGTACCCTTTTTCAAATTTAATAAAAAGTTCATTTCCTCGTCACTTTTTTTTTTTACTTCTTAAATTCAGTCCATCTAGTTTTGCTTTCCATAACTAACAAAAAAAAATTTATTATAAAAATCATTTAATTAAGTTTCAGGAATTGTGAATTATATTTTTAAATTTCAAATATGCACAAAAATATTTTTTTATCTTAATATTTTTCTTAGCAAGTGATTTTAGTATTTTTATTATGATTTTAGCATATTTAAATATGAAATAATTTCATTTACATAAAAGTGTGAAAATCCTTTTACAATCTTACAATTTTTCTTTAAGTTTAGAAAATCAAATTTTATAATATAATTTTAACATACGTCGATCATCTCACTGACCACTAAATGCATCATTTGAAAGAAATTAATAATTTGAAAAGAAAGTAAATAAAAATATTATTCAACTTTGTTAGATTAATTAAATTTTAATATAATGCACAAATATGCGTAATAAAAGAATATGAATACTCAATATTTTTTATTATATAAAATTTAAAATAAAACAAAAATATCTCACTTAAGATAAAATATATGAATCTTAAAATAATAATAATAAAAGTTTTTTATTGAGATAAGCAAGAACTTAAACAATACTCATGTTAAATTTAAAAAATAGATAATTTTTTCTATATTTTATATTAAATATATAAATAAATAATAAAATATTAAAAAACAAATATTGTTAATTTAAAATATTATAATTAATTTTAAAAAATATAAAATATTTTATAAAATTTATAGATATTATAACAAACATTTAAAAATAAAAAAAAATAACAGCAAGATAAACTTCCAAAAATTGGTACAACACAGGGGACCCACTTTAAAACCCTGGCAGCCCATGTGATATGGCCAGAAAGATGGAAAATGCGAGTACGTGTGTGTGCTGATGGCTCTATAATTGTTAAAAATAACGTGGAAAAGCAAAGTGGACCCACAAAAGCTCAAGACCGACAGCGTGTTTCCACTCAAAAGCAGTAAAGGCCCTGCCATTGCCAGCACTTGTCAATAATTCATTCATTGCGTCCATTGGTTTACCTTTCTTTTTTCTCGATCATTCCTTTATGTCTAGAGCTTTAGAGCATCACGACATGAACATAGTAAAAAATTGATATCCTCATCTTTTTAATATACTTTTCATTATTTCTTAAACAAAATTGTTCCTAAATGCAAAGTAAAATTGTTTTACTTCGTTTAATCATTGTCACCTTTACTACTTTTATCGCCCTATTTAAGACAAACTGGCTTCTATTTGCGTCTTGCTTCCATCCCCTGCTTGTTCACCCTTTCTTGAAACTTTGTTACTCTCATACATGGCTCGCTCTGTGCCTTTCGTCTCAACCATTTTTCTCTTGCTTCTGCTTCTGGTGGCCACTGGTAAATATATATATGTGGAGTTTAATTTATTATAAAACTTGTATTATTTTATTTTATGGTTATAGAAGTTTTTGTTGAAAGTGTGTCAAAACTAGGTCTAAGTGTGATATATCAACTTCTTTTGTGTTGCTTTGGCAGAGATGGGACCAGCAATGGTGGCAGAAGCAAGAACCTGTGAGTCTCAAAGCCACCGCTTCAAGGGAGCATGTTTGAGTGACACTAACTGTGGATCTGTTTGTCGAACCGAACATTTCAGTGGAGGACATTGTCGTGGGTTCCGCCGCAGATGCTTCTGCACCAAACATTGTTAAAATAAACTGACAGTGCTTTTTGGAATAGAAGATGATAGATCTATCATCTTTCTACTCATATCGTAAGCCTTATGTTTGAGAATAAGTTTACCCATTCTGCCATGGGTTTCTTTGCATGTCTCTTGTTTCATGTAATTAGATCCTATGAAATGAGTGAAAGTGAGGGAATGATGAAATCTCTGTTTTTTTTTAATTAACCATGTAACCTGTGTTTTGCTTATATGAAAAATAAAAAAAAGTAATATGGGTTCTTATAGTTTTCTTTTTTCTAGTAAATTTTATTTCTGTCATAATTTTTCATATTCTCTCCTCTTGTTTTTCTAAAAAAATTAATAGAAGGAAATGATACCTATTTTTATCTGTGAAGTAAAAGTCATCCTGAAAAGTTAGTCACTCTTATTATTAGATTTACTTTATTTTAAAAAATTATCTTTTTTTATTATTACCAGAGAGCTGGTGAAGTAATGAATACTTGCTGCTTTGAGAGCTGAGAACATGACACTAGTCTTGGCAGTGTAAATTGTGGGAAATAAAAAAAAATTAAATTATAAAGAAAAGAAAAAATAGTTTATATTTCGTTTTTTAAAAAATTTTATTTTAAAAAATTTAAAACAGTATCATCATACTTATTTTTTATTTTTTCATTTTACAAAATATGATTCCGTAATATAATTTTTAATATTAAAGAAATTGTGTATTTTACAATTTCTTACAATTAGACTAGAGTTTTTAAGTAGATGTCTATAGTTTAACTTTTCTATACCTTATTCATTAATCATTAATAGTTGTCAATATATTTAAATTTTAATTAAATTAAAAAATTGGTTAAAAATAAACTATTGTAAGATATATAAGAAGAAGAAATAAAAATGTCATAATGAATTTTTTAATTTGTTTTTTGTAATATTAACGATTGTAGAATTATTTAATATTTTATTTAGATAAAAAGAAAAGAATAGAACAATGTATTTTAATTTAATTAAATGGAAAATTCTAATTGTAAAAGATAAAATTTTATTTTTATTAAATTTACTCTTAAAATATTTATTTATTTTCATGAAACTAAAAAATAAAAATCTTGAAATTCAATTCCTTCCAAAAAAAATTAAAATATTTAAAAACAGTGGTATGAACTCTAATTTTTGGGAGGGGCTGAAGTAGGCACAAAGAACAAAGCTAGGAAAGATAATTTCATGATTTACGATTTGCCACGTTTCGAACTAATCTACCGAACCCGCTTTTACTATAACTTTGTCTCACATGACGTCATCCTATCACATCCGTGTCTGCCACCTTGCCTTTAACTTTGCTGTTTAGAGACTCGTACATACGAAAATTAAAATATTAAACTTTTAAATGATATTATTTTTTATTTTTAAATATTTTTTAACTTTTAGCACAATCTTTGATTAATTCACAAATGAAGCAAATTTATTTAACTGATGTAATTTTGTACATAATTTATTCTTTATTATAGATGAAAATATTCCTTGAAAAGTGAATATGTAATAAAATTACTCTCTTTTATATTTTGTTACATGCTTTTTTAATAATAAAATTATCTAAAAATAAAGTGTTAATTAGATTCTCTCCTGGAATATTTTTACTTTTTATTATTTTTTATCAATTTAAATATAAAACTTAAAAATAAAAATTATTATTTAACTTTTTTATTATTTAATATTCTTTTTTATTTTTGTAAATCTCTACCTTTATATTTATTAAAAAAATTATTACTTTATATAAACTTTTAAGGTTTTTATAAATATTTTTGTTTTATAAAATTTATAATATTTTAAAACAAACTATATTTAAAATTATTATATTTTTATACTTAATAATACTATTTATATATGTGATGATTTTTTAAAAATTTAATAATTTAAATGATTTTAGTTTATATATTTATTTTAAAATAAAATACATGTATAATATATGTACTAGTAACTAGTTGGCATTACATTTTATTTGTCTTTGTATTTAAAGTGGCTTTCTTATTTTTAAATATTTTAAAAAATTATTTATTAAAATAATATTATTTTAAAACTAATTTCGTTTTTTAAATTTTTTTCTCATGTTACAAGTGTAAAATAAATTTGCTTATTTATTTTTCTACATTTAAATTTTTTTAAAATTCTAATTAAGAATAAAAAGTGAAAAGCTATGCCCATTTTAGAATTGTTGCAATGTTTCTGAAATCAAAATTTTGCTCGATCCAGATATTCTAACTTGGGATAATGTGTTTAGAGTTCACAGCTTAATAATTTACATCGACAATGATTAAACTTGTCTAACATGAAACGATGGAGAGAGAAAAATTTACTAGAATGACATGCGAAAAAAATTAAAATAAAAGTTTACACCGGTAACATGTAAACTATAATTGACATGACACAAATTCTAAACGAAAAAAAAATATTATTTTAATAATTAATTTTAAATAAGACAACTAAAGTTTATAACCACTCAATTGGTTAGACTTCTGGTTCACAAGTTTTCTAATTTTTCTGCTTCTTTTTCTAATTCATATAAAAATTTGAATTGGTAGTAAATTTTAGAAGATAATATAAGCTCAATTTAGATTATTTTTGTTGGGCCTACAACAATGTACGACTCGTAAACCTTCTTAAGCATAGAAAATTATATTTTAGACCTCTAAAGACTCGCTGCAGTTTAAAGGACGGATAAAAAAAGTTAAATTTAACTCAAAATTACAAAAAATATTATCAAAATTTGTAGATCTACTTAGATATTTTTATTTTCTAGATAACTGTGAGAAAATTAGGAAATATTGTTATCCAAGATATGACCGCTTTGGCATGAGAAACTTGGGAGGAAAGAAAAAAAATGATAAAAAATACCTTGAACCAGGGTAAAACAAGATATCATGTTTATCTTTTTCTCTTTAACCAAGCTTAACTCCTTTTCTACTTCTTATCTTTATTATTATGAGGCTTTTTTTTTATATAATTAATATATTTTTAAAAATTATTTCTTTTATTATATATATTCTTATATGAGACTGATCACAAAGTGTATCACATATTTATTGGCAATACTTTTTTATTTTTTAAATCGTTGTATATTTTAGAATGATACTTGTTACTAAAATTATATGCGACAAGTATCACCTTTGGACTGGATTAATGTCTTTATTTTTTAAGTGCAACTAACACAGTAAGACTATGTTAGTGGGAGTATGTTAGATGTAACATGTAACATGAATTTTAAAATATATAATATTATAAATTTAAAATATATTTAAAATTTTAATATTATAAATTTTGAAAATATTTAAAATTATGAATTTTAAAAATATTTAAGATTATAGTCAAATAATATAAATTTAATTTTTAATTTTATGCATGCTATGTCAACCAAACTTTTTACAACTAGATTTTTTTTTTTTACTAAAACTTAATATTATAATTAAAATTAAATTTTTATTATTTCTAAATTTAATTTTAAAATTTATAATCTTATTTTTAAAATTTTTTATTTTATAACTCAATTAATTATAAATTTAATTTATATTTTTATAGAAAATATGTCATTTAAACTTATCACAACTTATTTTTTTTTACTAATAACTAATACTACAATTAAAATTAAAATTAAAATTAAAATCTTACAATTCATAATCTTATTTTTTGAATTCATGACATGTGAGATGACACATCTCACGTAGTATTGTTTTTGATATGGAGATACTAGTCTTGTGAACGAAGATAACATTCTCCTCTCAAAACTAGATATACTTGTTATATGCATGTTATGTGTTACACATGGCAAAAAAAACTGGTCTAAGATGAATATATATATATATATATACTAATCAGATAAATAATTTTTAAAAATATATTATTTAGATAAAAAAAAAAAAAAGAGCCTATTATTAGGTGGCTCTTTCTTTTTTTTATTAAACTTTCTTTCTTTTTGATTTTTTATATGCTCATGTATTGTTTTTTACGATTATTTTAAATTTTATCAAAAAAAATTTCAAGCATTAACATCTCTTCTTCTTTACTTATAATATTGTTTTGCAATCTAGTGTATTCTTTTAAAATCTTATTTTTTAAAGATTTTCTTAATTATTGATGTTTGTTTATGTGTTTTATGTTATTTAACTTTATTTTGATTAATTCTTGTTAAGTGCGTACGAAGTGATAATTTAAATTTTATATAGAATGATTTTATATATTTCTGAAATGTTAAAAAATAACTTAAAACAATGGAAATTAAAATTTTCATTTTACCTTGTTAAAGCTTAGTAAAAGTTTATATAGATTTAATGATTTTGTGTTTGAATTGATAAAAAATAAATAATTATAAATATTGTACTTTCATAAGCTAGAAAAGAGTTCCAAAATGCTGTCGAATAAAGTATTTATGAGTAGAATTTCATTAAAAAATTAGAAGATTCAAAGATATGATTTTTTAAAAATAATAAATAAAATTATTTTTAAATGAGTTTCTAATTATGATTTGATTATGAGATTAAGATTAAGAGAGTAGAATAAGGATGAAAAAGGGTTTTAAAAATTGAAATAAAATTTAGGATATGTAAGTAATGAAAAGTTAAGGGGTTTAAATTATATTAATTTAAGAAAATTCATGTAGTTCATCGTAAGTCTATGTGTAACGATGTAAAGTTTTTGGATTATAAGTAATTAAATAATTTGAATAGGGATTAATCAGTAAAGGTAAAAAAATTAGAAGAGGAAACAATTTGTAAAAATTATGGAAATCTAAGAAATTATGAAACTATAAATTTGAGTGAGAAAATATAAAGTTAGAATGTTTTATGAATTGGATTAGAAATATTGAAAGTTTTTAGAATTATAGGCCATTAAATAACACATAGGGACTAATATTATAAATTTTATAAAATTTTAAGGAATTATGGATAAATTAATTTTTGTGATTTAGAACATATTTAATAAATTTGGGACTTAGAAAATAAAATTAGAACCTTTATTTAAGTATTTAGTTAATGTAATGCATGAAAATAAAATAAATTTATTAAGTTATAATGTAACTTAATTATATAATATGATTGTTTAATTATTTTGAATTAGTTATATTTATTGATAAGATCTTAATTAAATATGAGTTATCATGGCATTCTAATTTTAATCTTTTAGCATCTTTGATATATTTTGACTTGTAAGTCAAATTTTGAGGTGATTATTTTTATTTTTTTTGTCAGAAAACTGTTTTTTAAAGTTTTAATTTGATGGGCAATTTTACAGAAAATGGATTCAAAGCTAAAAAATATATTATCGAGGCAAGTTGAATTACCACAGTTACATGCAAAAATCATTATATTATGATTTTATTGGGCCTAAGAGTCCATTATGTTTTGTATTTGTATCAATTAGAAGTTGCTTAATTAAGATTACTATAGATAGCTTAATTTCTCTCTTCTTTAGTATGCTTTGAATTATCTTGGTTATTTTTTGAAATAGGATTTTAAAAATTTAAAAATTAATTTTCATTTGTATTTTTCTTTTTCATGTTCTTTTATGTTTAATTTCTTTGTGTTTGAGGATCTAAACATGGAAGGCTTTCTTAAGGATCAATTCTCCAATTCGATTTCAATAATTGAAGTTTAAGATTTCTTCTTAATCAAATTTGAATATACATATTTTATAATATTTAAATTTCATTCACGCCTAATATATAATTAACAAGAACTTTTATTCATAATAACACTTGATTTTTCATATTAATTAAAATTAGGATTGAGAATCACATTTAAAGTTATTTTGACTTTTTATATGAGTTTGAATTAATTTCAATTAATGATAATTGCATTAGAACTAAGAAACACTTGATTTACTAATTTAAATTCAGCAAATATATGATATTATTTATAGTAATTTTTTTTCTAATTTAATTAATATTTAGTGATATTGTTTCTTGGAATGCAATATAGATTGACTTGAATAATATTGCATAATATTTTGACAAAAAACGACATCAATTAGTGAATCAAATTTTATTAATTTCATATTAAAACTTAAAAAATGATATAAGAATATTTTAAAAAATGATTGTTTATAAAATATAATTATAAATTAAGGAGAAATTTGCTATAAATTGTCACATAAAAGTTCATACGTTTAAAATATGGTATATTATTTTGTTTGTATGCACATATTTAGAGGAAGCATTACATATAAATTTAAATTTTCTTTTATTAATGAAATTTGATATTTATGTTTTTATGCTTTGAAAATATTTTTTAATTTTTTTATATTTTAATTTTTATTGATAAAGGAAAGAAAAATTTACATGTATGGGGTATAAGATAGAATAATTTATACATTACTATTATAAATTATTGCATGAATCTAAATTTTAAAAATAAAAGAAAAATATCAATTTAATCATTTATAAAAATATAAGAATATCTGTGATTGAAAAGTGTACTTTTAGTTTTCTTTTTTATTGACAAAAATGTATAAAAAAAAACTATTTATTCATTTATTTTAAAAAAAATTATATATCTAATTTTATAGTAGGCAAATGATAAGAGTAATCTACATATCACAATTTTTAATTGCTGCATGAATACTTGTTCATCTAAATTCACATTGTAGCATAAGAAATTGTGTTTAAATGCATTTATTTTCTTAAGCACAATTAACAAAGTGGTTTAAATTTAATTTCAAAATTAATATGAGAGAAAGAAATGAATTTAATGAAAAAAATTCTTACTTAAAGAAATAAACTAGTATGTCATATTCAAATTAGACTTTCTATGTAAGTATTCATGAAAAGTAAATCATCTGATAAAAAATATTGTAATATCAAACAATAAAGAGTGAGATGCAGTTTAATTGTCAAATTTAATTATTATTATTATTATTCATCACTCAACACAACAAAAGTTCATCAGCTTAGTTGACTTCTTTTCAAATGGGTAATAGTCTCACAATTATTGAAGATCAATATTTTTCAGCTTCCAATCCATTATTCCACATTATTATTTCTAAATATCATACAAAAATACAAATAAAATAAGATAAGGGAGTAGTTAGATATATTTATGTATAAGAGAATAAAGGTAAAGTGTGCTAGAGGTGTCACCACCTAGAATATCGATTTCAATTGAGAGGTATGCCATTGGCAATGGTCCTGTGCACCCAAGTTTTTCACCCATAACTAAAAGAAGAAAGAAAAGGAAGAAGGAACAAAAATCACACAAAAAATTCATTCTCATTCAGATTCACAAGTTACAACCTTAACATGAGAAAAGCTTGAACACTAATTCCCTTGATCCCTCTCTACGTGATTCTTTTATGTCCGTAAAAGAAAACTAGATTAAAGGTGCAGTGTGCGCGCGTTTGAACTAGTTTGTTAGGGGAAATGGTTGATTATTTTTAGTTTGTTTTCGTTATTTGATGTAGAGACAAGTCTTCAAAATTGCTATAATAATACATGTTATTTTATGAAAAACATACTCAACTCGTTAGAATAGGTTATATAAGATTTAAAATAGAAAGAGTACTATAATATATACATCTTTTAAGGGAGAAGAATATAATTTACTTATAATAATATATTAATTTTTATTTTATTAAAGAAAAAAATTCACTTTTTTAAAAAATACTTTTTAAGAAAAAATAAAATTGTTTGTTAGTTTAATTTTTAAAACTGCTATAAAAAATCAAAGCATCTTAAAACTATTCTTATCTTTAAAAATAAAAAATAAAAAATTATCTTAAAAATTATTTTTAAAAACTCATCTTAACAAATAAGTTTTATTTTAAAATTTTTAAAAAGAAAATATATTTTTAAAATAAAAAAACAAACAAACCCTTTGAGTTTTGATTAATCTGCTATTTATTTTTTATTTAAATAATAAAAATATTAAATCATTTATTATAAGAGATTAAGATATGCTATTCTACTTTTAAAGCTTAATTAAGTATTTGATTTCTTCATAAATTATATTTTTTGAATTTAATTTAATTTTTTTTATTTCAATTGCATCTTATTAAGTGATCAATTATATAGATGAACTCTGACTAATCACTTTCACGTATTTGTATCTGATAATTATTTTTAGCATGCAAAAAAATTCTCTGAGTTGCAATGGTTTGGGTTATTGTTTTGAAGGGTGGTTTGTTGAGTTTGTGATTTTTTTGGGAGACGTTCAGATTCACAACGGTGGAGGGAAAGTACAGGATCAAAAATTCTAGTTGAGAAATAGCATGAAGGATGGTACGTGGAGAAGTTGAAAACTGATGCGGATCTAAAAACAGAATCAGATCTACGACCTTGGATTGTTGTCACCGTTTCTGCAAAAAAGAATGATCAATTCTCATTAAAAAGAAGAAAAGAAACTAACTCCTAACTAACCTGAACAGAATACAGCTGTATAAATAACTAACTGTGGTAACTGTAACCGCTCGTCTTCTGATGAAGTTGGCGTTGGAGCATAAAAGGGAAATCATGGCTGAGAATTGACTCCAAGAAGCCATGTCAATTTCCACTTAATAGCTTGTGGGCTCCTTACGATCTCTTTCGCCATTCCCTGTCGTTGTTCTTCGATTCCCAGTTAGTTAGGATTTTGGTTTGTGCTTTCCGTGAGGGTGCATGGTTTTGCGGTGGGGACTCTATCACTTGATCGTTGCTCGTCCAACTAGGAGCGTGTGATGAAAATGACAAATGACCTGTATCAAGTAATGAAACTCAGACGATGATAAAAGACAATTTTTTAATAAATGTAAAAGAGTAAAATATTATATTCTAATGAAATATCAAAACTTAATTCAAAACATAATATTTTAAATGAATCAAATACTTAATTAAACTCTACTTTTAATCATAAATATATCAACCTTTTAAAATATTCTTTAAGTATGAATCTAAAGCATCGAAACTTTTTCTAAGAATTTATTTATATAAATATGGCTTAATTAAATGTTTATTAAATAATTTTTATATGAAAATATAATTGCATATTAAATCGTAACATTTATTAAAATAATAAAAAGAAATTTAATTTTAATTGAATGTTTAAAAATAAAATAAAAATAATTTCATAAAACTTGTCTAAATAATTCTTTAAAATAATAATCCCCGTTATTTCAACTTCCATAAAAACCTTTTAATAAATGCTCTTAAAGAGAGTATAGTTGGGTTTGACCAAAAAGGAAAAAGTGGTTGACCAAAGGAATCCTGGGTGTCTTGCAAGCAAGAGCGAAAGACACGGAGAAGGAGAGTGTGTCATGGGTGATACAATGAGAGTATTTTGATGAGAAATAATGTTAAAGGGAAACGGAAAATGCGCTGGAACTCGCAATGTCGTGGGTCTCTAACTGTGTCTCCCCTCTCTGGCTCCCTGTCTTGAAGTGAATGTAAGGGAATCCACTAGAAATAAGTAGAAGTGAAGTTTCCATTAATTGGGGATGGATTCTCCTTCCTCGCACACACAAACATCTCCACCGCTACCTCCAGGGATAGGCTCTCCCACTCCTCCTACCACTGCACCCTCACTCCCAATCCTTTTGGTTCCCAAGCCCGAACCCTTGGACGAATTATTCGCCACTCCTCAGCACTCCTCCGATCACCAACATCACTTATGCTCCGAGTTCAACCGAGTTTCCCAGTTATTCCGCGTCGCCTTTGCCAAGACCTCGCCCGGAGCCAAGGTAACTGCTCCTCCGGACCCGTTCCCGCCCACCGTTTCACAGCCCGATCCGGGCCCAGAATATGCAAACACCGGCGTTTCCTGCTCACATTCGCAGCCCATCAATGTCTCGGATCCGAACTCGCGAGCGATCGTTCCGGTTCCTCCGCAGCGGCGGGAACGGACGGTGGCGGTAGCGAGGAGTAGGCAGGGCCGGCGGAAGGAGCTGGTGAGGGTGGCGGATCTCTCGGCGAAGGAGCTGATGCATTTCCGTGAGGTGATGAGGAGAACGAGGTTGACCTACGACTCTATCCGCGTTTGGACGTTCCTGGAAGAGGAGAAGAGGGTGGCTGAGGCTGCTACGATGGCTGAGGCTGCCACGTTGGCTGCGGAATCGGACGAGGATAAGCGGCCGCGGCGGCTGCGCGGGGACCTGAGAGCGGCGGCACGAATGAAAGAACGTGGATTGTGGCTGAATCGTGATAAAAGGATCGTTGGGGCGTTACCTGGGGTTATGGTTGGGGATTTGTTTTTGTTTAGGATAGAGCTGTGTGTGGTTGGGTTGCACGGTCAGATACAGGCTGGAATTGATTATCTTCCTGGGAGCATGAGTTCTAACGGGGAACCCATAGCTACTAGTGTCATTGTTTCTGGTGGTTATGAGGATGATAAGGATGATGGTGAGGTTATACATTACACTGGTCATGGAGGGCAGGACAAGAATTCCTCTAGGCAGATTAGTGATCAGAGGTTGGAGGCAGGAAATCTTGCATTAGAGAGGAGCATGCATTATGGCATTGAAGTGCGAGTTATACGCGGGATGAAGTACGAGGGCAGTGCCTCCGCTTCTGGTAAGGTTTATGTGTATGATGGATTGTATAGGATTGTTGATTGCTGGTTTGAAGTGGGGAGATCTGGTTTTGGAGTGTATAAGTATAAGCTTTACAGGATAGTCGGACAGTCTAAGATGGGCAGTGCCGTTTTGAGGGACGCTAAGAATATTAGGAGTGGTTTGGAATTTGATCCTCTGAGTTGTCTTTGTACTGATTTGTCCAACGAGAAGGAGAGTGTTGCCGTTCGGCTGTTCAATGACATTGATGACAACAAGGACCCTCTTTCTTTTGAGTATCTTGCAACGATAAGTTTTCCCCAGTTTGTTTTTCATCAGTATGGGAAAGCTACTGGCTGTGATTGTGTAGATGGATGCGGTGACGGATGCTTCTGTGCTATAAAAAATGGGGGCGACTTTCCTTATAGTCTGCAGGGGTTTCTCCTGAGAGGGAAGCCTTTGATTTTTGAATGTGGCCCTTTTTGCAGTTGTCCTCCGCATTGTCGGAATCGTCTTACGCAGAGAGGGCTGAAAAATAAGTTGGAAGTGTTTAGGTCTCAGCTAAAGAGTTGGGGAGTTAGGTCCTTGGACCTTATTCAAGCTGGTTCCTTTATCTGCGAGTATACGGGGGTTGTTTTGACTCGGGCGCAAGCGCAAATCTTGACAATGTATGGTGACTCGTTGATATATCCTAATCGGTTCTCCGAAAGATGGGCAGAATGGGGGGATTTGTCTCCGATATACCCAGATTATGTGCGTCCATCATATCCATCAGTACCTCCCCTAGATTTTTATCTGGATGTGTCAACTATGAGGAATGTCGCGTGCTATATCAGCCATAGTTCCACTCCAAATGTCATGGTTCAGTTTGTTTTGTATGATCACAACAATTTGACGTTCCCTCACCTTATGCTATTTGCAATGGAGAACATCCCTCCGATGAGAGAGCTCAGCCTTGATTATGGTGTAGCTGATGAGTCGACAGGCAAGCTCGCTATTTGTAACTGAATGATGTTAAAAGGTTCATGCACTTCTAATATGTTGAAGCCAAGTTTTGGGCATGGTTAAGTGAGGTAAAGCCTAGTTTTATCATTCAACTTTTTGTTTGCACCATTTTCTTCCCTTTAATTGCGTCTTACTCTTGTCTGATACTCTGTGCTGTCTTCAATGTAAACTCTGTTTAGCGTATGATAATGAGTTAGTTATAGGCATAACTTATTGTGACAGTTCAAAGTCCAGGTGTACTTTGGATGATGGAAAAATATTTTACGTTAATCTGTTTTGCAAACAGATCGGTATCATGGCTGCTCTGATATATGAGCCTGTTAATGTAGTTTGTACTTGGTGTAGTAGATCTAATTTGTTTCTGGTACATGCTCTCTCCTTTTATGTCTTCGTGTATTTTTTTGTAGTTTGATTTGCAAAGGGTACTGTAATGTGTTTGATGTCTGGTTCTTCTAATCTCCCAAGTGCGTAGCAAGCTAGATTGAACATATAGCAAGCAGCTTTCAGGGTTCAATTTATGCTCAATAAGGGTTCAGGTCTCAACATGGGGGGATTGATCCTTTGCTTTCACATTTGTGTTGTCTAATTTTATTTGATTTGGGAAAACTAATCTAATTTCTCAATCAAGTTCTTTTTAGTTGAAGTGGAAAATATGAATTGATTTAGTTGGGATTTTCTGTTATTTCCTGTAATATAGGATGTCGTAGATGCTGAGAGCAACATAATGTATAATGGATGCCAGGAACCGCATAATGGATAGGTGGATGTGGTTATTATTTAAGATGCTATTTTGCTTGAGGGTGCTTTAATCCATGTTTGGCATGTGTTTTCTAATGAGTAACTAATGATTACACAAGATGTTCTTCAGTATTCCATCTTGCTGAGATGTTCAACTTAACTTATGTTTCATCATAAAAGGGACATTGATAATTTGGTAAAATGCAATAATTTATAGAGATCGAGAGTAAATTTTTCTTTTGTGGTTGGGTTCTTCATGCACACTTGTCTAAAGCTTCATCAGAATTGCAATTGGAAAGATGTTGTGCTTGTTTTATTGCAAAAAGATCCACTCTGTGCTTTTTGGCATACTTTTATCATTTATTCCTTCCCTCTAACTTTAGTTGTCAAAAAAGCTTACTAATTGTACTCAAGTGTTTATTTTTCTCCCCTGCAATAACAATTTAGTAGCCGGTCTAATGAAAACAATGAAAATCAACATCATAGGAATTTTTTTTTTCTCTCTACAACTACAACAAAAATGATGGAAGAAAAAATAAGGTAAAGGTTGTTTCTGATAGGTGTTTTCTTAAAATGTTGATATGGAAAAAAATGTTGATGGGATGACTAATGTGTTAATGCTATTATTAAATCTTAAGATCAATATATTTAAATATCTCTTTCTTAGAGAACTAAAATTTCATATAACAATAACAAAACCTTATCCCACTAGGTGAAATTGACTATATGGACTACACAACCCCACTAACTTTCTGTCTCAAAAGCCTTAGATCATGTTTCACTTGCACACTTTTTCCTTGTCTCGTTTTTGCATTTTGATAAATAACCCAAAATTTTGCATTATTGCACCCATGTAAAGTTTTAAAACACATTCTTTTGTCTCTAATATTTTCTTGCTCACTTTCTTTACACCATCAAGATTCCTTATCTTTTGTCCCAAAACCTCTAGATTCACACAAAATTGCCTTAGCACCCCTTCTAACCTTCAAAGATAGCTCATCTCAAATGAAGTTAGCACTACTTTGTATTTAGCTATTGCCTTCTTCTTATAGTGTTTCCCAAAATTCAATTGTCTATCTTTGAGTTGACACCACTTGATTCTTGAATAAGCTTGTTGAGTTCTCTGTTTACAAATCATAAAATGAACATCAAGGACTAAAGACCGTATGTTACATAGTAAGGCTCTCTCTTGAATTACTTTGCAATCCTGAAAAATTCTTTTATCTTGGTTCCTTACCAAAAAGAAATTAATTTGTTACCTTGAGAGATAAGATGTTTCTCATGTTTCTTAAAACAAGTATTCATAATCTTGAAATCGTATGCCCTTGGGAAATCAAGTATAACTTGTCTGAAATTAATTTATGTCCTTGAGTGATAAGATGTTCCTCCTTTTGTTTTGTGGAATGCCTTAAACCTATCCTTCTAAATCTTTCTAAAACTTTTCAAATAGGTCATCTGTCATCATGAAAACAATTATATGTAAACTAATACACGACTAGAAATTATATATTATAAATAGATAGATTAGGGACATTTTTCTAATATTTAAAAAGGGAGAGGGAAATCTCAAACTTTGCCCCTACGACCGGCCCCAAAATGACATTGTTTTGAGGGCAAAAATGGGTTTTAGAAAAATCATGCTCTAGCACAGGTACAATTACTAGTACTCTTTGGCTCAGCTTTAGAGTCTGGTGCTCATTGGAGTTACTGAAGCTAAGGCAAAGAACCGTTGGTTGTTTGTTTTATGAGTTGTTGCACTATTTTCCCTTTTGTTTTGATTCAATGTTCTTGATATTTTATCTGGCAGCGCTGAGCATAGTCATATGTACTTAACTATATGGTTTTCATGTTCATTTGCAGACTTAACCGTGATTTTCTGATGGTTTCAACCTCACCAAATTTCTTGGAATCGTGGAAGTGCTTGCTATATGAACTTTTTGTGATGATGTCCGAAATCACTTAATAGTTGCTATCCTGGCTCTGTCTAGCTCTTGTTGGCTACTGGCATGTGCGCTATATTTGCTGTGTGGTGATGAAGATTAGGAATTGGAGTTCCATGTGTGCTTAATCTTGAACACTTCTGTTATTATTCTCTAATTTCTGATGTCATTTGTTTGGCTGCTCTTAGGCAAAGCATTTGCAAGGCTTATCACCACCTTTTTGAAGCAAATAGCTTGGGTTTTTCTTTTGTCACTGTATATAATGTAAGTGGAAAGATTGTACAGGATGATGTTAGTGGTTGGTAATGATGGATAGAATGCAGCATTTCAATGGGTTTAGTAGCACATGCATGATGCATGGGTATCCAGACCTCATGCTATCCAGATTCATGTGTCAGTAGGTTATTAGCCAACCAAATTTTCTGTAGATATCTTGCTATGATATATTAGCATTTTGTATAACACTGACCTGTCAGTTGTATTGACTTAGATGATGTGAGAATCCCTTCTTCATGTATGTCTTAGGGTTTATTAGCTTGAAGTGAGTTCAAACTTTAAACTCGACGGCTAGTGGTTTTGAATATTTTGTTCAGTCTTATTAGTCACATAAGCGAGGATGCCTTAACTGAAATTAACTTTCATAGTCAACTGCAACAATTGAACTTTACAAAAGTAATTAATTATGCATTTAAATGATTGAGAATTGATCTAGCTTATAAATGAAAGGATTTGTACATGAAGTAAAAACAATAATTTATTTGATTTTAAAGTACTTAAAATTTTAGCTGAGCATATGTAAAATTTGTGTACTTTAAACAGTGATGTGTATTTAATTTAGTTTTGTTTTAATTATTATCCTTATTAATTGAAGTATTGTACTTATCTCTTCCGACCTATCAACAAATAAATATTTAATTCCTTTATTTAATTTTTGTTTGGCAAGGATAGAAATTAATTATTTGCATATAAATTTAATTGCATTTCTACATTGAGTTCCAAACATAGGTTTTAAACTTAAATCAAATAAAATTAATATAAAAGTTTCAAGCTGAACCCAGAATGGAATGAATTTGACCACATATCTTGATTTACACTCATCAAGAATTTTTGTTTGCTGCAGTTATTTTAAGCTCGTTGAGGTCGTATACTGAATTTGTTTTTAATGTTTATATAATTAAAATGAGAAAAGCATTTAATAATATAAAAAGTAAAATTACGTCTAATTTTTTGATCCGTTAACAAATCTAATAAAAAATCATAAAGAGTTGAGACAATTCATTCCAATATTTAATTTGTACTAATCTAAGGTTGGAGGAATTATTGTCCTAATATAATTTTGTGAATACGAAATTTGAATGTGCACAGCGCAATGGCTAGTAGCTTCTATCATATTTCTTCAGCGTTTCATCGTTTCCTTTCAATAAATACAGTGTTACCACCAGGCATGACGATTTATCTGCAGAACGTCCCTATATACTCGCTCATTAGTTTCAGCATGGAAACAAGTCTAAAGATACTTTGCTTTCCGAAAGTATCAAGAGAAACATGAATCAACAGATCATAGATCAATTATGAGTTATGGTACCATTAGTGAGGAAATAAAAAAGACTTACGTAATTTATATAATATTTTGGTAATATTATTTTTTATCTGTATTTTTTCTCATATATCTATCTCTCCTTGTATAAATTTTTGTTCAAAATTGTACAATTCATTATGCATTGCAAGGCTAAAAGCATTAGAATAATTACTAATATTTTAAGTTGTATACTTTAAATTGACGTGATTAAAGATTGTGATGACAGTTCAGGTTCTCGGTTTTAAAAAAGTACTATGAACTCATCGACCACCATAAAAGAATAATTTTGGAATAATTGAAATATTTACAATATATTATTTGTACAATTATTTGTTATTAAGTAAAATTTGTTTAATATTTATTAAATAATGTTGATTTCACTATGCCCGATTTTTCAATTGGGTGGGTTACACTTCAACTCTCAGTTATAATAACAAAATATATATGTATTACTAATGCTAAGGAATCCAAACCCTTGAAATATATAATTGTGCAATAAACTTATTAATTAGTCTTAAATTGTCATGTTACTCTTTTGACGGACGTGTGAGAAATATTAAGTATTGTTGATAATTCACATTAAATGACATGTGAAATGCCATTTTAGGGAGGAAAATGATATGGTTACAATCTCAAAAGACTAATTTCATTATTTTTCATCACCATCGTTGCTGCTGTCTCTAATGTTTCTTTCCCTCTTTTTCCTACTTACAATGTTCCCTTTCGCCATTGCCACCAAGCTTGCCATGTGACTTTCCTTGTCACTTTTACGATTGTAAAGAATATTTCTTCTGTCTCTCTCACTTCTTCGGCTTGAAGCAACTCCATTTGAGGTTCTACCCTCGCACTTTCACTCTATCCCACTGGTGTCACTTGTGTACTACCCACCATTCACTGCATCATCAACATCAAATTCGGCAATAAAGAAGAAACCGTACCTTATTCCCCAACAAACCAACAATTTCCAGCGACAAACTTTATGGGGAAGAATCCCTAGTAGCAATAATAAGTTTCGTGACATAGTTTGAATGTGTAGATCTAGACTATGATGTTTGTGATGACTCGTTAAGTGGTGTAGACCTAAGTTTTAATGTTAGCAAAGGTTGCGATGGCAAGTTTGTAGCTAGCAACATCAAAGGTGGAGAGGGAAAGGGACATTAGAGATGACAACAATAGTGATGACAAAAACCGATTTAGTTCCTAAGATGACATCACACATGTCACTTAATATGACATGTGAGAGAAACGTAATATTTTTTACACATCAATTAAATTTAAGGACCTAATTTTAGATAGACTGCAATATGAAGAATTAATAGTAGAATTAAAAAAAAGTAAGAGACTAATATATCTGACAGGAACTACTTTATGAGTTTAGTGTATATTTGTACATTCCACACTCTGAAAATCCATCAAAACAATGTGAGAAAAAAGGAAAAAAGATCATAGCAGACTACTACTAAACGCAATCAACCAAAGATTGAAAATGAGGGTATATCTTCTAACAATCCTTTTCATTTTAAAAAGCACACTCCAATTTTTTTATATATTTTATTCACTTTACCAAACTAAAATAATAACAATGAAAGCGATAAACAATTGTCGAGTTACTACTAAAATAATTAAGTTTTTCTAAAAATTTTGCAGTATAAAGTTTAAACTAAATTAATTCATAGAGACGTATATTCAGTTAAATTTAATTATATATTTTTTAATAATATGAGTAATAATTTAAATGTTTGTAAATTTTGAACTAATTAAATTAAAATTAATACGTAATTAACTTGTTGAATTTGGTAATTGAATAATTGAATTAAAATTACTTTTCATATTAGTGTCATTTTTCCTATCATCAAGAATATTCATATTATAATTGAAATCATCATCATTCGTTGAATTAATCTCTCTAACACCTAAACCGTTAATAAAAAGTAGAATTAAAATTGTAAAATAAAATAATAAAGTAATTATAAAATAAATAAACAAAACTATAAGTTATTGACTTGCACTCCAATATTTTTCCATAGCATAAGTTAAATTACTTTGAACAATTATTACAAAACTATGAAGTAAATCACTATCAACATATAGTTCAAGAATTTTCATTGACGATTATTCTTCAAAAACATTTATTATGCATTGAATATTTTCATTATTATATATTTGAAAATCATTATACTTTCTTTCGTCATAAGATATCATAAATCTACTTGTCAATCTTGAAATGATTTATAGGATAGTCAAAGGGAACATTATACTTTATTGTCATTTCTATAGTAAAAAATCTCCTGATTCACTGTTATAATCTACAATAAATTTACAATAACAGATACGTTGTCATTCTCTAAATACATAGTTTAACCTACTATTTACTAGTTGTTTCAATAGTTTAACAGGTCTCTGGGGAGGGGTCATCTTGCTTTCTTGAAATATTTAGCAAGAGTGAGTGTCTTTCTCACCACCAAACATGATCAAATCAATAATTCTAAAGCACACATAAATAAGAAACACACCAACCAATTAAAAATGATAATTACATAAACAGTCATTTCACATGCATACAATACTTATCAATATTACAATTGCATTTTAATAATGTTTTTAGTATTCTTGGATCCTTATCACAATCATTCATTATCCCTAGGATCCCTTGAGGTATTCCTTATGTATAGATAATCACTGGTTAGTCAAGTAGTAACACAGATACAACATGTGCCAACATGATCTTTTTTACCAAAAGCATGATCTTCAGGTTAGGAAATGGTATGAGGCTTGTGATGCTTTCATGAATTATGCGCAATCAAAGAAAAACATTTACCATCCTCATTTCCTCCAAATTTTTAAAATCGTCACCATCTTTTACTTCTAAGTATATCTTTGTAACTATCCATACGATTCTTTTCACCTTTCATTTCTCATTATAACTTCACTTTTTTCATTTCTCATCATGACATAGATTTATCACTTGCATACTAACTCAATGTTCATCTTTTTTTTTATTATTATATTCACGTCTACTTTTCTTATAAAAACATCAATCAACTATGTCGAAGGTTGGATACCTCTGGACTTAATCCAAATCATTTATTCTTAACACAACATATACTTCACATCATTCATAAACAAAGAAAACACAACTCATCAAATTAAGTAAATGGTCAACAAACTCATTTAAACATATCTTTTTTTAAACCATATAATCATATAATCATACATAAAGAAGGTGTCAACCATCCCAGCACCTCCTAGAAAAACAAATTCAAGGTCTTCGGTCTCGTCTCCTCAACAAGGTTTAATGGATATAGGGTGGGGATCGGAAGGTTCCTATAATGCAATATCAACATGGTCAACAAAAGATTGAAGAATCTTGTTTCTTTTAAAACGAGAGAAGTAGGCGGCTACTTCACTGTGTACCCACTCGTATCCAGGAATTGTACAGGGGGGAAATACGGGTCTTTCCCTAGAGGGGCTCATACTCGGTAGTGGTTTAGAAGAGTCGGAATCAGTGGATTCAGACGACTCGGCTTCGTCATTGCATTCCCTATAGCAAATCTCTACCTCTTCCCCACTCGGTCTTGAAGCAAAATTCACCCCCCTTCGGTTCTCTCGGCATTTTGAATATTGACACTAGTCAGCCTAGAGGAGTCCGACAGCGAGTCCTCCCATTCCAAGGATTCGGCCATGATAAAATAAGGAAGGTAGAGAAAAAACTAAACGTACCTCACAGGTAGTCGGTTTGGAAGAAAAGAGAAAATTTGCACACCCTTCGGTTTGGAGCAGTAGTATATACTTCTCGGTTTAGAGACAAAGTGGAGAACAAAAGACCTGGACCACCATGTATTTATAGGGCCTTGGGCCCTCGGACATATGAAGAGACACCTCTCTTCCAAACCAACAAATCTCTTCAAGATTGGATGGTTAAGATTGAACACCGTTTCGTTTCGCGCACACAGATCAAGGAAACCCTAAAAACCCTGAAGATTCTAGAATAATCTTTTTTATTACTTATTATTTACCCTTTACTTCAATATTTCCTATAATGATTTTCTGAAGAACCGAGTACTCCTTTAAAGTACGTCAGCTCGGTATTTTTCCTTCAAGATTGGATGGTTAAGGATTTCATATCTTAAGCCGAATACCCCCTTGGTATCCTTACACTTCCAACAATCTGGCTTCCCCCTTATCTCTGTGTTTTATGATACTTTATATTTACAGCCCTTACTTCGTACCTCTTCGGGCTTGGGGGGCTAGTGTACTGGATAAGGAATAACTCGGTCCTACTTGTAGGAAAAGGAAATCGAGTACCTATTCGGCCTAAGTGACCAGATACCTTTTGTTAGGATTAAAAAGTAATTAAACCAATTAAAGTAATAATCAAGATATTATTTATTTTAATCAAAGGGCCAAAGATCAAGACTGACTTAGCAGGCTCATTAGCCTATTACAGTGCCTATATAAAGAAGGTAAAAGTATAAGTAAAAGGTTAACTTTCATTATTAAATACCATTTATTACGCAGACCCGAATCTTGACTTCAACATCGGAGTGCCTTTTACAGGTATTCTCCCTACGTCAGCGACTACCAGAGATACGTTATTGTTTCGGAGCAAGGACCTGAAGACCAGTGTTTCCCTAGCAGGAACATAATACATGTGCATTTAAAATTTGAAATTTAAAAATATGGGGAAGGGGAAGAGACTACTATCATGTTGGTGGAATCTAATGCAGTTTCACACATATGGCAAAAGTTCTTCGCCTTCCCTTTCCTCTTCTTCATTCCTTTGTTTTAAACTTTTTGGGTATTTGTCTTCCATTTGTGTATTTGTTTATAAGTGTTTCTGTTTGATCTAAGGAATTTGGGATATTTATTGTTTATGTTTTTGTATTACTTTTACTTTGTGATCGGAAGAAATAACAACTTACCTAATGTTGTTTGTTTGATTTTCAGGCGAGGACATATATTTTGGGCTCTTGACTTGAGATTGTGTTGAAGAATTATAACATTCTTGTATTATTTATAATTTAGAAATTATTGTTAATTTTAATTAAAAGAATAACTGTTTAAATTAATGACAAAAGTTTAAATATATAAATAAATACAAAAAAATATTATTTTTTCATAAATAACAATTTATAAAATGTTTATTACTTATATGAAATAAACTATAACCATCAATATGTTATAATTTAGCTTATTATTTACAATATTTTTATCATTCTTTTCCTAAAAAAATAAACTTGATAATTTAATCATATAACAATAAAATAAATATTTACCAAATTAAAATAAACTATCAAATATTTTAAAAAAAATACAAACATGAATACAAGTATAAATACTAATAACACTCTCTACGTAGATTGAGTTTGCAATGAAAAAAATGGATTTGTGAACATTCCTTGTATAGGGTTTTGTAGCAGACAAAAGGGTGAATCTGCACTTATTTATTCACATAATAAAAGAGGAGTTGTCATGTGGCAACTTTCAATTACTCTCATCCATACAGTGACACTCATATAAGAGGCAATACTAGTCTCCCTCGGAGAGTGAGACTAATTAAGTTCAATCACGTGATAACATCCCAATTATTAAAATTGGTGTCACACTTATAAAGTGTAAATATTATTTTATTTTATTTTTAAGTATTGCATATGAGGTAGGGGAGATTTGCAGCTCACATAACAAAAATCACCCCAAAAGAATTCTTTTTCATTACTTTAATAAATAACTTGTAAAAAAAACTTTTTTTTCAAATAGCCTAAAAAATTGAATAAGACAAAAAAAAGTTGAAAGCAAATTAAAGAAAAACGGAGTTTGGTTGATGCCTGAATGCAATTTAACAATATCATCCCAAAAGTTGATTTAATAATAATAATATAAAATAACTCAAAACTGGATAGTTTCAATGTGTAAAGAAACAAACTCTAAAGGAGAAAAGATGAATATAGAGAATTCTTGAATGATTTCAGAAACTAATTATTATTAAAAAAAATACAAGAAGTTAAGAATTTATAAAGCTAAATTTATTAACTGAAAAATAACAGACTAACAAAATCAACTTAATCTTTTAATTTACTTTGAGTTCCCTGATACGATGGCTTAGCATTTCAAAAGATAAAACAAAGTACAAGTTTAATTGTCATTGATTATAATCAATTTCAAAGTTTTATATTAACAATTTATTATAATATAGGATGTAAATAGTTTAGTAAAATAAAATTTTAATTTTAATTAATAAATAATAAATAATATAAAAAATACTTGCAGAATAACATCTAATTTTTTTCTTTATCAAATGTTTAACATGTTTTACAATTACATTAATTAAAGGGAGTTGTTAAAAATTAAATATATTTTCTTAAGCAACACATTTAACTGATATTATGAAAAAAGGTTTAGCCATAGCCATAGTCAAAGGTATAGTTACTAGTAACTAGGTAACTAACTTATAGCCACAGTTAAAGTCAAAGTTACTAGCATCTAGGGTAACTATCGTTTCGCTTAACTTCTACTTCATTTCAATTACCAGAATAAAAGGTTGTGTACAATGTAAAATAATAAAATCACTAAAATGTTAATTGATTTTGCTTGTAGGCAAGAATGGACGGAATGCTATGAGCCAAATATATTAAATCCTCAAATTCCAATTTAAAATATACAAAGTAAAATAATTAAATAGTCTTAAAAAAGTTGATTGATTTTGCTTGCAGGCTAGAAAGGACTGATACTACGAGCCATCAGTAACATACATTCAGGTACAAGGCGTCTCCTTGGAGGAGCCACTGCATCTCTGGCACAGGCTTCAGCATCGCCAGTGTGGATATATGCTACTATATCTTCAAACAAGTCATCTTTGCCACCTCTCATGGGATCCTGAAAGGTATAGGCATTTGGCATGAATGGCTCTTACACAACGTTAATCGTTAATCATTCATCAGAAAAATTTTCACAGAAAAGTTAGCAACCATCACTCCTTGAGAGAATTTAACAGAAAGCTATATTACCTCAGAAAATGTTGTCAGGAGTGAAAATGTGAAAAGATAAATAGAGAGCAACGAAATGAGTGATATATTTAGATAATGCAGTGTGTCCTCATATTTGGATCAAGTTAGTCAATCGTAGTTGGCTTTAAGATAATCATAATGCAAGGTTCAAAAAGATGATACCATAACACAAGATTTGAGGTACAAGTTGGCTAGGACTAAGCAAGTTAAATATGCTAGCATTAATTATTCTGAAGATATTTATTCCTTAACTGTTATTTAAATCATAGAATATTGTTAAAAAGTATTACGGTGATATTGAAATGGAAAACAAAACCTAGCAGTTTAGGCAGAAAATGGTATACAGTTGCCTAAGAAAAACAGTGCTCAAATACCTGTAGAAACACATCAGTGTGACTCTTCCCTTCATACAAAATTGATTCAGCTCTGACTCCAACACTTTTAAGAGTTTCAGCAAATGATTTACTGTATAAAACAATTAAAAAAAAAAGTATGTTAATCATACATAGTTCAGCAGCTGAAAAATAAGAAAATATTTAAAGAAAATGTTTCAATTTAGAAACAAAAGCAAAGTAGTTGTACTAAAATGACAAGTCACAGCTCTACAAATTAAATAGCTTCTCTTCAAATCCTCTAGTAATTTAGTAACACTGTGAATTTGGAGGATAATATAGGATTAAAGCCTACTTTAACCAGTTTAAAAGAACAGGACACGGAGAATGAAACTAAAATCAATCCAGAAAACGAGTTCAACATTTCAACAAAAATTTGGTGCGGAAGAAACTGATTCTTCCTTGAATCTTCCCTAAGTTTCAATTAATTCCAAGTATATCTCTGGTCACTAAGGGAGGTCGGGTACATGGACTGTACGATTACTTGATATTCTAAAGTGACAAATAATTTGACACAAATAGAAAGTGCTCAAAAGTCAAATGCGATTCAATATGAAACAGAGGGAGTAACTTGTTCAATCTCAGAAGTTTATTAGAAACCATTATAATCCCCAAGGTTTTTTGAATGCTTGTTATGTCTTAAGTTGATGATTAACAACACATGCATATTGATAATAGTAATCTTTACTGTTGTTGATTGGACTGGACTAAAACAGAGAAAGAAACAGAGAAATTAGATGAAGAAAAGAGTGGACATTATTCTCTAATACAACTTAAGTTATTCGAGAGATCTTGTTCTCTCCCAATGCCTAAAGGCCTAGTCCTTTCACTTTCACATGGGCTTGAATTGACCCATGCATGTACAATGCACCTAACCTAGTAATTTAAATGTGGGGGTTGCAACACTTTGTAGTGAATCCTATTATACATTTCTCACATCTCTCTCTTCTCTACAAATACCATAAAATTGATATTGACTAGATATGATGCGATAACTGTTATCTAACAATGTGACAAAACATACATTCCTTATTGATACTAATATTTCTAATTAATTAGGGAAATAAATCATGAGATATCAGGAAATGCAGTGACTAAGAAAGTAGGGAAACTAAGTAAAGAGATGATCTAAAATATTCTAAGATATAATATAGATATTGTTAAGAGAGGAAAAATATTGAATCCGTGTGTTTAGGGCACAACAGAGTTATTCCAATTTATAGAGGAGTACATAATTACAAAATATACAGCTACTATATTTACAAGATTCTAACACTCCCCCTCAAGTTGGAGCATATAAGTCATATGCACCAAGCTTGTTACATATGTAGTTAATCCGAGGATCCCTTAATGACTTAGTAAATATGTCTGCTAGTTGGTCATGGAAATTGACAAAACTAATAGATATTTCTTCGGACATGACTTTCTCTCTGACAAAGTGACAATCAATTTCAATATGCTTTGTCCTTTCATGGAATACTGGATTTGAGACAATATGCATAGCAGCTTGATTATCACATATAAGTGACATATGTGTGATCTCTCTGAACTTTAGTGTTTGAGCCATATAAGCTCCTGACTCACTATAGCCATAGCTCGATACTCCACTTCCGCACTCAACTAGGCTACAACATTTTGCTTCTTACTTTTCCAAGAGACAAGGTTATCTCCAACAAATATACAGAATCCAGAGGTGGACCTTCTATCTACAGGAGATCTTGCCCAATCTGCATCTGAATATCCCACAACTCGAGTGTGTCCTTTGTCTTCATACAAAAGACCCTTTCCTAGAGCTCCTTTGATGTATCGAACAATGCGAGTCACTGCATCCCAATGTTCCTTACATGGAGAGTTGAGGAATTGACTTACTACACTTACTGCGAATGAGATATCTGGACAGGTAACAGTGAGGTAGTTCAACTTCCCTACTAATCTTTTGTATCTTTCAAGATCTAAAAGAGGCTCCCCTGATTTGGCAGGCGCTTGACATTAGGATCCATGGGAGTGTCAACTGGCTTGGAAGTTAACATTCCTGTTTCTTCCAAAATATTCATTGCATACTTCCTTTGGAAAATGATGATCCCATTTTTGGATTGTGCTACTTTTATTCCCAAAAAATATTTGAGTTTGCCAAGATCTTTTGTCTAAAAATGTTTGAAGAGATGTTGCTTCACCTGTGCAATGCCATGATGGTCACTACCTGTGATGACAATATCATCAACATAAACAACCAAGTAGATATAACCGGTAGGGGAGTGACAATAGAAGACAGAATGGTCAGCCTCACTCTGAGTCATGCCAAACTATTGAATCACAGTACTGAATCTGCTAAACCATGCTCTAGGTGACTACTTGAGGCCATATAAAGATTTTCGCAGTCGACATACAAGACTAGAGGACTCCCCCTAAGCAACAAAGCAAGGCGGTTGCTCTATGTACACTTCTTCGAGCATATCACCATGTAAGAAAGCATTCTTGATATCTAACTGATAGAGAGGCCAATGACGTATGGCAGCAATGGACAGGAATAGTCGCATAGAAGGCAATTTGGCCACGGGAGAGGTGTTGCCATAATCCAACCCAAAGATTTGAGTATAGCCTTTGGCGACGAGATAGGCCTTAAGTTGGTCAACCTTGCCGTCCGGACCAACCTTGACTATATACATCCACCGACAACCAACAACTGACTTCCCTGGTAGTAGAGGAACGAGGTCCCAAGTCCCACTGTTTTGTAATGCACACATCTCGTCTAGCATAGCTTGTTTCCATCCGAGATGGGAAAATGCATCACTTGCACTCTTAGGAATAGAAACAGAGGACAAGGAAGAAAGGCAAGAATAATAGGAAAGAGAAAAACAATGATAACTTAAAGAAATATAATGAGGAGAAGGATTACAAGTAGAACATATACCTTTTCGAATGGCAATGGGAATGTCAGGTTCAGAGGGCGGGACCGAAAGATGAGGCGAAAGAAGTGGCTCCAAAGGTGAGTCCATGGTGTTATTAGTGCTCGGTAGCTCCAATATAGGACGAGTACGACGCTAATATACCTGCAAAGGTAGACGGGATGGGTGTGGAGGGGATGGAGACGCCTCTGGAGGATAGAAAAGGATTGAACTAGGGGCAGTCGTGGCGGGGAAGACTCAAGTGTAGATGTGCTAAGTTCAAAGAATGGAATGGACTCGAAGAAAGTAATATCAACAGAAATGAAATACCTGCGAAGAGTAGAGAATAACACTTGTATCCTTTTTGAGATCACGGGTACCTGAGAAAAACACACTTATGAGACTGAGGAGAGAGCTTGTCAATGTCAAGACCGAGAGCATGAGCAAAACATGTAGAATCACAGACCCGAGATGGTAAAGGATGAAGAGAATGGTGGGGGTATAGAACTTGATGAAGGATTTTACCTTGTAAAACAGAGGAAGGCATATGCTTAATGAGATAACATTCAGTAAGTACCGCATCATCCCAAAACTAATGAGGAACATGAGAGTGGAGAAGAAGAGTCCGAGTGGTCTCAAGTAGATGCCGATTTATGCATTCTACAATTCCATTCTGTTGGGGGTTATGAGGACAAGATGTTTGATGTAACACATCATGTGATGCCATAAAGGTCTGAAATTGAGTAGACAGATATTCACGTGCATTATCACTTTGTAAAGTGCGAATAGGGATACCAAATTGATTTTTTATTTAATAAAAAAAAGACTGAAAAGATAAAAAAATTTCTGAACAATCTTTCATCAAGTGTAACCAAGTACAACGGGAAAAATCGTTTATAAAAGTAACAAAATACCTAGACCCTAATGTAGAGGAAATACAACTTGGACCCCAAACATTTGAATGAACTAAAACAAAAGAGAACGAAACCCAACTCATAGTGCGACTAGAAAAAGAATTACGAACATGTTTGCCTAATTGACATGACTCACAAGACAAAGACTTTAACTTAGAAAGACTAGGGTATAGCTGTTTCAACTTATCAAGACCTGGATGTCGTAATCGAGCATGAATCAGAAGTGGAGACGTTGCTGACGAACCAACAAGAGAGGGCTTGTTGAGCTGATAAAGGCCATGGGACTCACATCCGAAGCCAATCATCCTCCCCGTAATCCGGTCCTGCAAGGAAACAGAACTTTTGATAAAAGAGATGACACAATCAAGAGACTGGGTAAGTTGACTAATGGACAATAAATTAAAGAGAGCCCTAGGGATATAAAGGACATTGTTAATAGAAAGAGAAGGAAGAGGATGAACAATACCAACACCTTGGTAACAGAAGGTAAATAACCAGAAGTAGAACGAGAAGAAAAAATAGATTTATTACCAGTGATGTGATTGGTGGCCCCAGAGTCAAGGACCCAAGGGCCTGAGGAGTGAGAGAGACCAACGAAGGAATTACTAGTGTGTGCAACAGTAGCAGTGGAACCGGAGGCCTGACGATCGTCATACCATTTCAGGAAATCGTCATAAAAAGGTGATGGATATGGATCCAGAGCCAATGATGGAGTAGAAGTGGATGAAGGAGACACAGAACTTTGGGCCACCGGGGCAGTGCGAGGAGGTCGACCATATAAAGTACAACACTTATCAATTGTGTGTCCCGATTAGTGGCAATGATCACACTAGGGACGTCCTTTGCCGCCCTTGCGCTGTGGAGGTTGGTTGGTGTTGCGAGAAACCAAAGCCGAAGAGTCAATAGAAGTGGGAAGCAAAGGCTCAAAGGAGGTTTTGGGGGGCACATGAAGGAGGGTCGCCCAAGTACTGTCCATAGTAGCTTCTGTAAGGCTCCGCAGGATCTGATCACGAACATGAGAAGAGTCTGGGGGCAGACCGTATAGAGACAAGGACATGAAAAACTTCTCGCGATTATCAAGTTCTGCATTTGGAGTGGCAACGGGAGGAAGCAATTCGTTGAACTCACAAAGAAGGCTTGATACCGAGCCAAGATAGGTTGACATAAAATCCTTAATTTGATGGGCACTAAGGACAGTCATGAGGTCTTCACAAACTTGGTAGAGTCGTCAAGAATTGTTTGTAAAGAGTTGTTGAGCTTGTGTCCAAACAGCTTTGCAGGTTTTGTGAGTGGGAAAGACATCACGAAGAGATGGGCGAATGGTGGCTCGCATGATACAGCACAGCTAAGCGTCAACCTTTTTTCACAGAGGACGGTCGGCCTCCGGGACATCGTCTACTGTTTGGGTGAGATGTTTCTCATAACCCTGTCCAACAAGCCAAAGTTCAATGTGAGAAGCCCAGGAGGAGTAGTGCTTACCGTCCAACTGCTCAGAAGAGAGAGGAGCAGTGACATGATTGGTAAAAATCTGGGTGTCAGCTTTTGGAGTGCTAGAGGCAGCCATTGGTCAGCGAGAAGAGAGAGAAAATGCCCAAACAGCAGGGAAAAAGGGTAAAACAAGGGCAAATAAATGTCCAAACAGCTAACCGAGACTGATAACAGGTAAAGGAGAGAAGAGCGAGCAAACCCCAGTCGACGGCATCAAGAAAGGACGCCGGACACACGGAGAGAGGTGGCGCGTGAGAAAATCGACTGAGGAGAGGGCGGCATGTGGGGGCGCCGATGAATGCATAGTCATCGGGGTTCGGCCGATCTGACAAGGGCGACCAGAACGGCGGGGTTTCCGTAGTGATCGGAGGTCAGACGGTGGCAGTGGCGGCAGTGCCAGAACAGTGGCGGACAGTGACAGCGGCGCCGGAAAAAAAAAGGGCATCAGTGAATAGTGAGTCCACCAGGAAAAAAACCGGATTAGGGTTACCTCTCTAGGCTCTAGATACTATGTTGATAGAGAAAATATTGAATCCGTATGTTTAGGGCACAGCGTAGTTATTCTAATTTATAGAGAAGAGTACATAATTACAAAATATACAGTTATTATATTTACAAGATTCTAACAGATATTAATAGATATGCTTCATATATTCTAACATAACTTACTCCATTTATTACATCATTTTCACGTTGCATGTGAATTAAGCTAGAACATTTCACTCTTTAAGTTTTCTATATTGATCGTTTGCTAAAATTCTTGTTTTAGGACTAGGAATTGTCACAGGTTGATCTATGTTTGTTGTCTTGTTTCTTTAGCACGATTATCCATATATTGAAGTTAAATTAAGTTGGGCAATGCTAACTAAAATCACACAAATCTTGGCACTTCAATATTGCTTGAAGCAATTAACACTCCCTGTTCTCCCAAAACAGGGCCTTCTCAGCTATTTGAGCAAAACTAAAAACCATAACTAATTAATGGGCAATTAACATAAATTCACGTTTTCTATTGTTACCACAATTTCAAGAGGCACAAACCTCGCATCTGATGGTATGGACTGATCTGCAGTGCCATGATACAGAACCACAGAAGGTAGTAGAGAAGCAGCATTTCCAATATTTGGATCTTGAATCATTACTTCTGGAGAAAACCGTCGCAGGGATTCCTCCCCTTCCATTATGCTGTAAGATAAAAGTTGTCATTTGTAAATTTAATACAATAAAAAGCAGAATCATGTATTAATTAAACATTAACTCACTTGAAGATTAATTAAGTGTTTTACCTTAAAACGAGAGAGCGATATAGACCTCTACGATGGAAGTGATCTATAAGGTTTAACAAATTATACCTGCATTGATGGAAGAAGGAAAGACAGCAAAAGAATTATGTGAATCTTACCATAAAATCAACAAGCTTGGTGGCAAATGCGGGATATATAATAAGCATTCTCAATCAAATAAATTGCATCATCTGTAAGCAAAATAAAATCATAATTGGAAGACAACAACAACAACAAAGCCTTGTCCCCCTAAGCGAGGCGAATAGTCAAAACCCTACCTGGAAGAATTAGTAGTTATTGCATATCTTTCAGATACATTTATCATTAAAAAAAAAAATTAAATTCATACAGGATCAACTGGAGCTATATTTCCTTCAATAATATGTAAAACAGTGTAACAATCCTATTGTTAGTAAACCAAATATGCTTTTGTAACATATCACAGACAAAATTTGCATTTCTAACGAGGGATTTATCACAAACCAACAGTAAAAATAGCTTAAGCAGCTAGCTGCAGGCATATGAACAGCTTTTATTCATCTCTAACATACACCCCTCACGCAAGAGCCCTTTGAACTTGAAGCATGGCAATGCAGAGACTTACCTACATTGTGCTTAAATTCAACTTTTGTTTATAAAAAGAAGAATGGAGTGACAAGTATCAAACTCTAGGTTGGTGATTGGTTCCTGTTCTAGGAACAGAAAAAACTACTATTTTGTCTTCTTATGTACAGATATCAGTTCCATTCTTTTAGGATCTCTTTGTATCTCATATCTGTAATTTTCTGTTACCTTTCAGGAGAGATTTTCTATCTTATTACCTAGGCCTAGATCAGCATACAGCTGTTACCCTAATTCTCTATTTATTCTACCATCTCAAAATCAACAAGGAAAATACTGTATTTTCTGCATGGTTCAAAGTATGATCTGAACCATGTTTGATTTCAAACTACATGTTATTCCATCCATGGCCAAAAAACAGGAGAATGATAGCCCATAGTATCCAGATCAGAGACTGGCATTCCTACCATAACAGGCCTTATTGAAGGACCTATTCTTCTGATCACCAGCCACAAACTGAAGGGACAAAACTTCATCAAATGGGCCAATTTGGTTTGATTTTTCTTTCCAAGGAAAGGAAAAGTGTGTATCACAGGGATGCAAAGCAAGTGGAAAAAGATGAACCCAACAAAAAAAATGGAGACTCAAAAACAGCTTGGTGATGTAGTGGCTGTTGAACATTATTAAGATGCCACCATATTGGCTACGAATATGGACTAAATAGTCCTAGTAAAACTTGAGCAATCCTCACTCATTGAGCTAGCGTTTTGGGTTGAGTAAGGTGCAATCCATTTCTTATTCGATGTTAAAGCCTATCCAATTTTGATTAGTGCTGTCAAAAAGGGCGAAAGCCCTGGGGCCAGCCCTACCCGACCCTAGAATAATTTATTAAGCCCTGTTTTAATATTAGTTAAAATAATTTAATTTGACCCTAAGTTATTTAGCCCCATAATATAAGGCCAGGGTAGGGTTACCCATGGGTTGGCCCTGACCCAGGAAATACTTCTAAATTTTGTTCAGCAAACCCTAGTCCCAATTTTTTTACCATTCTCAATTATTTACAAAATTACAAGTTCTTTGCCTCTACACATTCCTTCTTCTCTCGTTGGAGTTGGTTTCTTCAACTTTCGATTTGGTTTCTTCAGCTTTTGATGCAATCACTCACCGTCTTCATCGAGGTTCTCTGCTTAGGTACCCTACGCTTCCATTTTATCTCAATCAGAATTCAATATTTCCTCTCTTTAATTTGGCTTTGAATTCGATTGCAGAAACTGTTCCACATTCAGATTAGCTGCACCTTTCGTCTTAATCCCTCCACCTTTAATCTTCTTCTTCCTCATCAATCGCCCAGGTTTCAATTTCTTTTCTTGCTTTTCTATTTGCTTAAACATTTTTTTGTTCAAAGTGTGTTCTTATCCTGTTTTGAAGAATGTTAAACTGAACCCTTAATTGTTTCGGTCTTTTGCTTTTTGGTTGACATCAAATGATTGTTTAAATTTTTGTTGAATTCCTCTGTTTTGTGAAATTACCGTGGTGTGATGTTTTTTATTATAAGAGTTGGTTTTGCAGATACTGGTCCAGCATCAGCCCACACAGTGCTGTTTTTAATTTGCAGAATTATCTTGTTTGGTGCTTTATCAACTTAGTTAGACTATATTCTGTATGTTTCAGGTGAGGCATTTCACAGTGTAAACAATGAGTTAAGGGAGTTGCCTGCAGTTGAATTGTCAATGCTTCCTTTGATTGTTAAGGTTTTGGCATATGCTTTAATCCTCTCAGTTATTTTGTTTCTACCTTGTTATTATTTACTGTTTTGCAATCTCATCACATGTTCTTCCAATTTTTTCTCTTAATTTTAAATCTAATTTATGTATTGTTGGCTTTTTGTTGAAATCTTCCAAATAACAATTCTGAATAAGTTTTGGAAGTACTTGTTTCAATTGCTATAAAACAATAGTTTTTTTAATTGAAATCTATCTGTTCAAGTTTTTGATTTACTTTATTGAACAATTTTGCGGTGCAGCTATCTTTGGTTTCATGTAATTGCTGCCACCATGTAGCCAATTCATTCTAGAATTCTAATCAATTTAAAAAACCTTTGATAAATCGTCACTACGGATTCATTACTTCTTCTTTTTTTTTCCATTTACGGTGTTCCTTTTCACTTCTACTAAATGAAAACTTTAATCGCACAATCCATCCTGCTATCACTGAGTTGTGGGCTGATTATTTTTAAGGCATCCCAATCTTTGTGTATCAACCAAAAAATCCCCTAATCAGACCTTTAGCAGGACATCACAAAGAAGCTAAGTGAACTGCTAAATTCCAATTGAACTCCTAATGCATCACTCAACTAGGAAAAATTCTAACATTTCTTTCATATACACCAAACAATTGCAAATTGAGAACAAAAATTTTATAATTTTATTTACAAACTATTTGATCACTCCAAGATATAAATCTTATCCTAGAACGTAGTTAATTATGAATAATAAGTAGTAACTTGAAAGTATAAAAGTCCTCGATCCTCTGAATAAAAATAAAATAGCATATTAATATGTTTGCAAGTACATTTCATATCTAATATTATTTAGTTACCAGTATTTCAAAAATCACTTGTTAGCTAAAAAAAGTGATGATTAACAAGCCCAATATTTATAGTTTGTGGAGATGGTGTTTCTTTTTTTATTTTTCTTGGTATTTTGCCTTCGGCTTGATTTTGTTGTTCAATTTGCTGAGTTTTTGTTATTCTATGTTGGTTTGAACAGATTCAAAATCACAAGGAATACAAGCAAAAGATCTTATCAAACTATCAAGTAAGTTTTCTGCTGAATGTCAGAATTAGAACAAATGTCTTACTCATTTGTAATTTAAAAATTTTAAATTTTATTATTCTATTTTAAATTGGATTACTCAGAAGGTCTTTATGATAAAATATTTTTTTTTTAATATATTTATCAAATAATACTTAAATTTGTTTGTTCTAATTTTTATCTTATGTTTCTTTCAATGCATAGGAACTATAAATTATATTATGAATTCTATGAATAAGACTGTGAATATAGATGATGAAGTTGTTTCTGAAACTCCTCCTGTGTTATTTGAAAGTGTTGAAACCCCTAGAAAGCACCTTTCAAATGTTTGGAAATATTTTACTAAAACTGGTGTAGATAAGGATGGGATTGAAAGAGCTGTGTGCAAATATTGTGGCCATGATTATGCTATTGGAAAAAATCCCAAGACAAAATCATTATGGAACTTTACATTTAAGTCTACACGTTTCAGTTTGTAAAAACATTCAAAGTTCAAGTGTAGATGCGATTCCTACTCAAGATGTAAATTTTGGTGCGAGAAAAATTAACCAAAAGACTCATCGTAACATTCTTGCACAAGCCATAATCAAACATGATCTTCCTTTTAACTTTGCAGAGTATGATATGATCAAAGAGTAGATCAGTTATGTGAATCTTAATGTTGTAATGCCCTCTAGGAATACTGTTGTGTCAGATGTTCAAAAAATTTACATGAGAGAGAAGGAAAAACTCAAAGAAGTCATGTGTAATATTCCTAACAGATTATGTCTTACCTCTGATGTTTAGACAGCAACTACAGGGTTATATTTGTTTAACTGTTCATTTTGTTGATGAGAATTAGAGATTAGTAAGTAAGATTTTGAATTTTTGTCGAATGAAACCACCTCACACTAGAGTTGAATTAGAAGCCACTTTATTTGATTGCTTGAAGCAATGGGAAATTGATAAAAAAGTTTTTTCTATTATCTTAGATAATGCTTTTGCCAATGACAATATGCAAGATATTTTGAAAAATCATCTTCGTGTGCAAAATAGTTTGTTATGTGATGGAGAATTTTTTCATGTGCGTTGTTCTACTCATATACTCAATTTGATTGTACAAGAAGGTCTAAAAGTAACTAATAAAACACTCTTCAAAATAAGAGAGTGTTAAATATGTGACAGGGTCCGATGGAAGGATGATTAAATTTCAAGATTGTATGCAAGATGCTAGAATAGACACAACAATTGGGTTAAAATTAGATGTTTCTATCAGGTAGAATTCAACATACTTAATGCTTGAGAATGCTATAAAGTATGAAAAAGCTTCTGATATTCTTCAAGTGGTTGATAGGAATTATAAATATTGTCCATCGTATGAGGAATGGAGGAAAGGAGAGAAATTATGTGAATTTTTAGAGCCATTTTACGAGACTACAAATATGATTTCTAGTTCTTGTTATCCGGCTTCAAACTTATATTTTATGCAAGTTTGGAAGATTGAATGCTTGTTGAATGAATATTTATTGAACGAGGATGATGTTATAAAAGATATGGCTGCAAGAATGAAAGGAAAATTTGAAAAATATTAGAAGAATTACTGTGTGTTGTTAGCTTTTGGAGCTATTCTTGACCCTTGTTTAAAGTTTGATATTTTAAGATTTTGTTATACCAAGCTTGATCCTTTAACCTCTCACGCGAATGTCAACAATGTGAAGGATAAGTTTGATAAACTTTATGGAGAATATGCAAACAATTCTAATGCTACAAGTGGTTCTCAACCTTCCAATGAATCCAATTTGTGGTCAAAGTCACATGGAGATGGAAATAGATCAAAGAAATCAAGATTGTTCAATGTATGTTTTTTTATGTCATTTTAATTATAGTGTATTTCTTATTTTTATTTTGTTTAAAGAATTATTATGTTATATTTTGCAGGAGTTTAAAATGTTTCAAAATGAAACTAAGTCTACCATTAGTAAGAGTGAATTGGATTTGTATTTGGATGAGTCACAAGTTGATTATGATGATACTGAAGAATTTGATGTGCTTCATTATTGGAAGAATAATGAAAAGAGATTTCCAACACTCTATATTAGCACGAGCTGTGCTTAGCATTCCAATCACGACAATAGCATCAGAATCTGCTTTTAGCATTGGTGGACGTGTTCTCACTAAGTATAGAGGCTCTTTTAGAAAATGTGCAAATGTTAATTTGTACTAAGAATTGGTTGCATGGCTTTGTTGAAAGTCCAAGCGGTAATATTTATTCTAATAACCTTTTATGATTATTATATAATTTGTACAAACATAATTCTATTTTTATTGCTTTTGAGTTTTAGATAATGAAGAGACAAAAACACTAGAGTCTAGTATGCAACAAGATATTGAAGACTACAAGCAAGTGAAGTATGAATCTATTAAGAATTAATTTATCGAGTTTTCTTTTTGACCAATTATTTTTTCACCTTTTTTCTGTTTCTTTCAGAGAGAAAATGACTGAGGAGAATTGACAATTTTAATGTGTTCAACATTGTTCTACAATGGATAATGAGGAGTCCTACACATTGGCTTTGTGTATTTTGCTGTTATCTGCTTCTTACTTGTGCTGAAAAGATAAAGGAGTCCTTGAAATTGATTTTGTTTGTAGTTGGACTGATGTTCTTTTGTTATAGATGGATTTATGTAAATACAGATTGTTTATAGATATTATGTTACTGCACTAATGTTAGAAATTAAATTTGCTAGAATCTTGCTGTTAATTTATTCCACCATTGTTTATAGATAGACTGATGTTCTATTTTGCTATTATTGCACTAATGATTAATTGTTAATTATGAAATTAAATTTGAGTTGAAAACTTGCAAATGTTGAAATTTTTTAGCCCTTGAAGCCCTGACTCTAACCCTGACCCAGTGGGCTTTTTGGCCCATAGAGCTTTTGATTTATGGAGCTTTTTGGCCATAGCCCATATGGGCTAGGGCTAGGGCTAGACTAATTAGGCTTTTTGACAGCTCTAATTTTTATGTTGGACTACACACAAATGTCTTGTCTTGCAAACTTTGGGATCCAAATGTCCAGTTCTGAACATGAGGGATGTCTATCAAGATGGGGAACATTAACTAAGAATACAGTCAAAATAGTCCATATAAGACTTGGATATTCCTATCCCTTTGAGCTAGCTTTTGGGGTTGAATTAAGTCCAATCTACTTCTAAGTTCTAACAAACACAAGTACCAATGCAATAGGAGAGAACATCATGTACTACAGCACAACTAAAGAGATATGGGCGCAACAAAGGAGACTAATTCAAATGTGGGTAACAGCTATGCAAGCTTTGAAATCAAGAGCCTATTTAAAGACATGAGAAGATTATTCTATAGAAATCTGTGTTTAGATAATTACCCTAAGAAATTGTTGTGTTGGAAATAACAATCTGTGTTAATTATTTCTTGTAAATAGGAATGAATTCATTTCTTATATGCATTTATAACCCACAGTTGGAAATAACATTATTTTCCTCATATTATTCAAGTTCTAAGAGATTCCACAATTAATTAATACTTCAATACCTTCACCCGATATTGCAGCAACTTGACATTTAACAAGAGATCAAATAAAAGTGCCTTAATGACAACCAATAACCAAATCTTGAGGAGAAAGTAGACCAAAAAGTTCCACCTTGAGCTCAAGTACATGCAAGGATCCATGAGACCAAACCACATCCAAAAGTTCATGATATTTTTAGAAGAAACTTTCTGCAAGTACTTACCCTCCAGATAAACCAAAATAAGCCTTAATCTGGGAAAGACTCCAAGAAGTACTCTCTCCTTCACCAGCCTCTTTGATAGCCTGCTCCACAATTACACATGCAGCAATATGTGCCCCAGCTGACTGCCCCATCAGGTAAATTCTACGGAAAAGAAATATATATGAAAAAAGCATCCTTTATGAGAAACCATTACACTCAGTGAAATAGCAAAAAATGGATGCTGTAATGAAAAAAAACTTTGGACTTGCGAGAATGATTATTTACCTATTAGGGTCACCTCCATATTCGGCAATATTGTTGCACACGAATGAGATACCTTCAGAAGCATCAGTTACCATATCGCTGATGGTTCCCTGAGGAAAATTTCTGCAAGAAAAGAGATGTTAGATAACACCGCAATAGGAAGAACTAGAAGACATAAGCAACATACTCATTTCAGTGGACGATTTATTATTAAGTGAATTTCATGTAAGTTGATAAATTCAATTTAAATTATAAATATTTTTAGTTGTTTGAGAATAGGGGAAGAAAAACATTACCTGTAATCTATGCATGCCACAATGATATCTCTATCTGCTAACTGTTGACCTAACAGAGAACCCCATGCTTTGTAACTACACAAATACTTCAAAACTTGTAAGAACTGAATTGGTAAGTGGTGAATGTGTCTGAGCATACAGTAGACACACAAAAAAACCTGAATGAAATTAGTGGCATCTGATTGCACAAGGAATGATAAATATCACAAAAGAAAAACACAGTATATAATTATAAACATTTATATCTATCAAGTTAATCATATATACAGTTCGACGAATTTTCTGATGCACCTCAATAACCTTCTTACCAGTTACCACCATCATGATGTAGTGGATCATCATCAACGTGTCATCTTTAACAATGCTTAATGGTAAGCATAAATAAAAAAGAACTTCTCTTTCTAATAAGAGATAAAAATAAGAATTGAAACTCATATATCAGCAGATAGCTCCATGAATAAGGAATATTACTCTCAATCAATAAACAACATCAATGCATTCTAACACCTAATTGCATTAAATAACAAATTTGAAATGAAGCATGATATCACTTACCCAATAACCCAGGCTCCACCAGTAATAAAAGCAACAACGGGTTTTGGACCATTGTTATTTTTAGGCAAATACAAGTCAAGCCTGCAAAAGAAAATAATCTATTCATCAAAATTACAATTGTAAGAGTTTATAAATGCAGAGAGACAAAATATAAATAAAGCTTACCTATTTCGCGGTTTATCTCCATAAACTATGCTTCTGCGTATCTGACTGGAGAAGAAATAATAATATCCAACTATAAAACAGAAGGAAAACACTTATGCTCTAATAATGCCGATTGATGGGGGAAACTAATGCATTTCAAATCAGAATCTAAACATATATGATTATATGTATGAGAATTATGTAATAGATCACTGAATCAGACCTTGAATAAAGCCTGGTAAAAGCAGTATTGCATAACAACCAAGGGCAAGAAATCTTGTTATCCATTTATACCCTAACCTGAACAGAAACATAGGATCAGAAAACATACATAACTGGTACATGTGAAGATATTCATGTAAAACAATCAAACATTACAAAACAAGCAAATATGCTCAATAATTTAACAAAACAACAGATGCAAGAATCTGCAAACACCAATGAGTCTTGGAAGATGCCCCTCTTAATTAGTGAGATTCATAGATTCCACGCAGGTAAATAAACTTCGGGACAGGTATGGGTATACAGTATGTTACTACATCATATATAGGATATCTAGGGCCTAGACTTAGTATAATACTTAGGTTTGCGATATGTTTTAAAAATATTAATTAGTGTACAATATAACTTCCAATGCAAAAGGCTCCCTCCTAGCAAAATCATGGGAGAGTAAAAGAATGTAGCCCTTCCCACAGATGTTGGAGATTCTTTCTGGAATTTGAGTATAACAAAAGCTAACGAGAAACAAAGGAACAGGACAATAACCTAGCATCTAATAATAAAATCGTTAAAGAAGCTAACTACTACACTAATTATTCTTTCTACCCCATAAGAGTATTTGAAAGAGCTTTTAGGGAGCTTATTGGAGCTCAAGAAAATGGCTTATGTTATGACTCCTATAAGTTATTTACAACTTAATAGAAAAAAGGTTTCTCATGTCAAAATAAATTTTTCCTTACCTTATGTCAGTAAGTTTCATGATCAAACTTAGTAGATAAGCTCGCACACTACAAGAACTAAATAAGTCATTTACCCTAACACACTCCATATGACAAATGTGTCTCAAATATTAAGTTCAGCAGAACCTAAGAATGGAAAACCTCGTGGCACATTATGGACAACATGATAGCTAAGATATCCATATTTAAAAGAGAAAAGAGAATGAAACGATACCCGAGGTATGTCAACATCTTCAAAAAGAGGCGGGTCAAGAGAAAGGTTTCAGAAGCAACATGCCTAACATCACGTCCAAAGGAAGATGCATTAATGGGAGCAGTATCACAGTGCAAGGAGGGCAAGGAGTCTTCACTGGAAGCACGTCTGCGCCTCTTTTGGTAAGCATAAGGAGCACCCACAGGCATTGTGTTGTTGTTGTTGTTGTTGTTGTGTGTTGGTGAGGTGAAGCTTGAAGCCCTTGACAAGATGGGCTTAATATAGTTGGTGCCTTCCAAGGAAGATGAAGAGAGCAAGAGACTCGTGGAGGGGTTGTTATCGTCATCTTTGGCTTTGAACATCATTGCAGCTGAAGAAAACGACGAATCTAAGGAACGGTTCGACATCGGAAGGATCTGAGACGGCATTGTTTTCGTGTCCTTGTAATGGAATTCAGACGGTTCTCCCTTTAACAACAAACCTTTATTGGTTCATGCGCGTTCAGTTGCTGCTTTTCCACCTTCTCGCCCCCTGTTTCCGAGAATTTCTGTTGTTGAAAGGAGAATCAGGTGACACAGAGAGAAGGGGAAAGACAGACTGGGATTTAGGAAGTGCCAAAAAATGTGCATTCTTCCTTTCTAAACTTCAAAATTGAAATTCAAAGCGTCACGATTGGCTTCCGTGTTCGCCCAATGTCGGGCCCACTCTACTTTTTTAGTTTCATTTCACAAATGAAACTGCAACAGATATGCACAGCTTTCTTCTATACTCACTCGCCAAGAAAACAATTGAAATCTTTTTGCATATAGCAATTACAAAACTAAAAAACTATTAAAAAGTAAATGTTGAATTCTATTATATTTTTAATAGCTGTTGTTTATTTTATTGTATATATTAAAAATAATTTATGTAAGGTAAAATTTAATAAATAATTATCTAATTTAATTTTTTTCTTATGTAAAATAAACTCTTATTTGTATTTTATATTTTTAAAATAACTTTTCCACAACAAATTCATTAATCAGTTGTAACTACTTTTATTTATCCTGGATAATAATTCATGTGATGTAATATAGAGAATAAACTTGTGGGACCTACTTTCAAAAAATCATACATTACTTTTTTCTAATGCGTCCAAATAAGGTAAGTTGATACAATTCTTTATTTTTTCATACAAGCTTTTCATGTTTTTTTTCTTTTTTAAATAACTTTTTTAAGACTTATATATTATTTATAAATCTCTTATATCTCTTTATCTTTATAACTTATTTTAAATAAACACAAACATTCTTTTGTTCACTAAAGAATAGTTAAAATTTTATATATAACAATTAAAAAATTAAAAAAATATTAAAAAGTAATTCTATTATAATTTTTAGTATTATTTTTTAGTTGTTATTTATTTTATTGTGTAGATTAAAAATAATTTATGTAAAGTAAAATTTAATAAGTAGCAACGTGATTTTAAGTTTTTCATATTTGAAATAGGAGTTTATTTGTAGTTTTATATTTTTAAATTATTTTTTATACAACAAATTCATTAATCATTACAATATATGTGCATAAAAAGTTAAAATTTGAAATACATTTTTTATGTAACAAACTCATTAATTATTACAATCATTAATTATTACAATACGTGTGCACAAAAGTTAAAATTCAAAACACAACTAATAAATATGCATGAGTTTCTTTTATTTTTATTAAATTAATTTATTTTAAAATATAAAATATATAATTTAAATATAAAAATATATATATATAATAAAAAATTTATTATATTAAATATAATTACATTGAGAAAGATTATGAAATACTTCCTTACTAGTAAATATGCCCATGCGTTGCAAGGGTTTGTTTTATTTTTATTAAATTAATTTATTTTAAAATATAAAATATATAATTTAAATATAAAAATATAATAAAAAATTTATTATATTAAATATAATTACATTGAAGAAGATTATGAAATATTTCCTTATATAACAACATTTTTTGTATATTCTATATATTTAAAATCCTCTTCAATAATAAGGATTTGTATTCCTTTTGCTGACATTACTCTAGACAATGCAACATATAATTGACCATGACTAAATACAAATTTTGGCAAATATAATCTAACATAATTTAACGATTGTCCTTGACTTTTGTTTATTTTCATTGCATAACATACCTTTATTGAAAATTGTTTTCTTCTTAAAAGAAAAGGTCATTTGAAGTCACTTGCTGTTAAAACTATCCGCGGAATAAGTATTTTAGCACCAATATTGCTTCCAGTAATTATTTTTGCTTCAATTATCCATTCTCCTAAATGTATGATAAGGAGTCTTGTTCCATTGCACATTCCTAATGTGGGATTGATGTTCCTAAGTAGCATAATTGGCATTCCTTCTTTGAGTTGCAAGCAATAGAGAGGAAATCCATTAAAATTTAAAATATTCAAGAATTCTACGGATACATAAGCTCTTACTCAGTTATTTTATCAGTTGCTTTGTAATTTCGTCAGAGCTTCTGTAATACTTTATTGATCCTTCAACCATATTTATGATATAATTATTAATATCATCAACAATATCATTTAAAGGAGTAAGTATGGTCCTCTCTTGAAGGTATTTTTTATCCCATATTTGTTGTTGGAAATTTGGATATGTGCTTCAAAAATTTGCTTGAGTGAATCCTCCATTGGCTTATATTGGCTTGAAATTTTTATCCACATGGGAATGTCTTCTCCTTCTTTACTAATTGTTGATATGTTTCCATCTCCAACTTGTATGACCCATTTATTAAATGCATATGCCAAGAAATTTTCCTGATTTGAAAAGGAGTTGTTGAAAATTCTCATACTTTTGGACAACATATAAATTTTGCAATGATCCCACAAATATGACTTATTAATGCATGCTTGAACTATGTCTTGTCGTTGTCCTTTTGGTATTACAGGTAATATTTGTCTAAGATCTCTTCCAAGAAGTACTATTTTTCCTCCAAATGGCTTAGCCGTACTGTTAAGATATTTATAACCCACAATATATTTGAGGGACCTATCAAGAGCCTCAAAAGCCAATCTATTTATCATTATTTATAACTCACAATATCTTTGAGGGACCTATCAAGAGCCTCGAAAGCCAATCTATTTATCATTGGTGCTTCATCCCAAACAATGAAATTTGTTTGAATTATTAACTGAACAAGCTACTCACAATATCTTTGAGGGACCTATCAAGAGCCTCGAAAGTCAATCTATTTATCATTGGTGCTTCATCCCAAACAATGAAATCTGTTTGAATTATTAACTGAACAAGCTGAGTATTTTGTTTGATTGAACATGTGCTCTCTTCAAAAAGATCTAATGGTATTTGAAATCTATTATGAGCTGTTCTACCACCCAGGAGCAATAATGATGCAATACCTATAAAATTTTAAAGTAAGAATAAATGAGACATAAATAAAATCATGTATATAATAGTTTATGAAAGTATTCGTTAAAATGTAAGAAATATTAATTTTTAATAGATATTTTTATAATTTTTATGACAAACAAAAAATAATTTTGATGATGCTAATACTAAATTTTAGAATTTTTATGTGTGTAATATTAATAAAATAATATTTTTTGTCTTATTTTATTTAATAAAAGAGTATTTTATAAGTTTTATAGATAATGTATTTTTTTATTGTAAGTATTAATGAAAAATTTAATTTATATTAATATAATAAAACAAAAAATTAGATTTGAAATTTTTATATTTGTACATTTTAAAATTTGAAAAATAAAAATAAAATACTACATGTATAAGTACAAAAGTTAATAATAAAAATATATAATTAATCTGAGAAATATAATAAAAAGTATTAAATATGTGAAATATATAATTAATAAAAATATAAAATCAAGTATAAGGAAGTGGTTAAGTACCCGAAGATGCAATAGCAAGTACTATTCTTTTCTCACTCCTTAGTTTAGAAATGATAGTCTTGTAAAGAAAAGTTTTCCGTGGTCATACACAAAATAAAGTCCACCTACATTAGCAGGGACCGCATTAGTAACTTCATTGTATATTTGTCTTTGTTGGTCATTTAGTAATTGGTAGCATCTCTGGTATTCCAATTTCAACTCTTCAATATTATAATCAAGTTACTCTTTAATCAGTCTATTGTCCATCACTTCTACTGCTGATTTATTGGGTAAAGACATTCCATTAAAGTCGGAGAGGATCTTTCCATTTCTCATCAATATCTTGTCAATTTTAATCAAACAATAAGTTTGGATTTGTTGTTCTGTGAGTTCCAAACCAAAGTGATGAAATAACCTTCTTTTTTTATAAAGAATATCATCAGATAGTGTTTGCCAATTGTTATCCCATAGTTTCTTAACATTTGTAACCTTACCAAAAAGAAGAATTGTAACAAATAATTCTCTTAACTGAAAAGGTAAGGCTCAATGACTTGCTTCATTTAATGCATCATTCCACTCTTTATCATCATTTAGAAGGCCAAGAGCATAGCATGCTTCTTTGAAAGTTTTATGTATCACTCCACCAACTGTTTTGATTTCTTCGTAACTTTTTGGTCTTTGAACAATATTTAAGAAAATTTTTAAGTAATATCTTTCACCAGATGTTGGATGAGCATAATTAATTCTTCCAATTGTTCTTCTAGTCTGTCTTTGTTTCCATTTTTTGTTTCTATCATTCCAAACAAATTTTGTAGGAAAGTCATAATATGTTAGCATGCATGCTTCAGAATTTATAAAATTCATTTTCATCTATACTGTAAACATGGTTTGTTCTAGTCCTTCTTTTCTGATAACTGTTGACAAATGTTCTTAATCTTATAGAGTAACTGAATTTTCTCCTGGTAAATGGAAGATCAATCTCATAACAGTTGGACTTCTATAATGTATGTTAAAGTTAAAAATTCTCCAACTTACTTCACATTGCATACATAATTGAAATATAAACAATAATTATAATAGTTATAAATTCATAAAAGTCTGAGTATATAAAAAAGAAAAAAATGTGTTCAATGTTGTTTAAAAATAAAAAAAAAATATAACACTTAATATCAAAGTCAATATGAAATTTAATTAATAAAATTGACTAAAAGTTTATATGTATAACAATTACTATTATTTATTTAGTAATACTTATTTATAAAAATTATATATAATTTTGTACACTTAATAAATGTACAATAAGTAATAAATATATAGTTTAATAATATTATTTAATTATAATTATAGAATATTATTTTTATATATATATAAAATATTAATAATTATTTATTAAATTATCATTCGTAATAGTTTGTTATTACCATTATTAAGATTATATAAGCATAAATTCTAATAAACTTTCTTTAAATATAATTCAAAGATAATAAATATGAATCAAATTATAATTTCAATTGTTACATTATGTAAAATATTATAAATAATTTTAATAAATTGTAATCTAATGCAATTTATAGCAAATTTTTTATGTAATATATTCTATAGTGAATTTAAATATTTTAAATCTTAATAATTATAAATTCATTATAAATACCTAAAATAATATATAAATTTATAGTATTAAAAAAATTAGCATAAAAAAAGAATATATAATGATTTTAACTAAACGGTTAATTAAATTAATTTATTTATAAAATTACATACCTGTAGTCTAAATAAGTTTTGATCTCATCAACTTGTGTTATCTGCATTGAATTGTTTGTATTTTGGACAAAAATATTTTCTTCAATTACCATGG